CAGTGTGGGTTACACAGAGAAAACCAAAACAAAAATCAAACAAAATGAAAAGGGCTGAGGATGTAGCTTAGTACAAAGGCGCTGGGTTCAACCTCCAATACTAAGAGAAAAAAAAAAAAAGCAAAACCAGTTGCCTACATTTCTGGAGTATGGAATTCGAAAATCAAGGGCTAGTAAGACCTCAACCCCACCCAGCTCCTGCCCTGGTGGCTCTAAGAAAAAGTCCCTTCTTTGCCTCTCCCAGCTGTGGTAGCTCCGGGCATCCCTTGGTTCGCATAGTTCTGAAATCCCTAACTCTGTTTTCATGGTTGTTTGTGACAAGATCTCTCTTTGTAGTGCAGCCTGGACTCAAACTTGGGGAGATGCTCCTGCTTCAGCCTCCCAAGTGCTGGGATTACAGTGCTGGGATTGCCATGCCCAGTGCCTTTTCCCTGTGTCTGTCCAACTCAGTCTCTCAAAGACACCAGATATCAGAGTCTGGCCTAAACTCAGGATGATTTCACCTTAATTACACCTGCAAAGACACTTTAAGGTCACATTTGAAGTTCCACGTAAACTAGATCTTGGGGGACACTACCCCACTACAGAATTCCCTCTTGATCCAAGATCCAATGTAACCACTTCCCTTACAGACCCTGCACCTCTGAGTTCCATCCACTGCGCTCACGATGTATTAGAGACTGTGCTCAGCGGGAGCCCACCCTGCCCTTTCACTCACCCCTTAGACGATGGTGTTTCTTGGGAGCATCATGCACCATGCACCCTTCTGAGAGGAGGTCAGGCCCCTCCCACTATGAGCATGCATCTGTACCAGCAGTACCCATTCACCTCAGCTCTGTCTGGACCTCAGGGCCACTGTCTAGGAGCTGCTGCTATTCACAGAGTGGCCCGGTGCCTGCCTGGCCCTGCACTTGACCATGTCAAGATCCCCAGCATCACTGAGGTCAACCAGACCTGAAGTAAAACACCACAGCCCACCCCTGGTGTTCCTCCTAGTATGCAATAAACCAACCATTTCTTTAAAAGATCTTTAGTGCTAGTTTGCAGCCAGATTCATCTGTGCAGTGTTTGCTCTATTAGCTGCCAGAGACAGAGTCTTACTCACCAGGACTAGTCTGAGCTGGAGGCAGAAAGTGTCAGAAAGATGACTGTGATGTAGGATTCAAAATGTGAGCAATCAGAGGGACAATAATCAAAAGCAACTGAGCCAGTGTGGTGGCACATACCTGTAATCCCAGTGCTCAGGAGGCTGAGGCAGGAAGATTGCCTCAATCTGAGGCCAGTCTGGAATACAAAGTGAATTTGAAACTAGCATGAACAGGGGCTGGGGATTTAGCTCAGCAGCATAAGTGCCTGCCTTGCAAACACGTGGTCGTGAGTTCAATCCCTGGTACCGATGTTTAAAAGAAAAAAAAAGAAACTAGCATGAACATAGTGAAATCCTATTTCAAAAATAAAAAATAACACTAATAATAAAATAAAGTTTTAAGGGGCTGGGGATTTAGCTCAGCGGCGTAAGCACCTGCCTTGCAAGCAGGCGGTCATGAGTTCGATCCCTGGTACCGATAAAAATAAATAAATAAATAAAACTTTAAAAAGTAGCCAGGCACCTGGCAAGGAAAGGTCCATGCTCAATTCCCAGTATTCCCCCAAAAAGTGGCCAGGCATGGTGATGCATTCCTGTAATCCCAGCACTTTGGAGGTTGAAGCAGGAGGATTACTGTGGATTCCAGCCCCTGCCTATATGTGAGCTCAAGACCAGCCTGAACTACATGGTAATACCCTGTCTCAAATTAATAAATACATACATATACATAAATATGCATACAAGCCTTTCCATGCTTATATGGGAAAAATGATCACTTTCAGATTACCTACATAGAACAGACTAGCCTCTAAGATGATCATCCTGCCTCAGCCTCCTAAGTAGCTGAGGATACTGATGTGTGTTACCATATCCAGCTAAGAAGTTTTTAAATAATTAAAAACTGAGAGCTTCACAGATGACAGCTGATAGCTTCACAGAATTACATGGTTCTCTACTCAAATCTCAAAATACCATCTAATACACTGGCTACCTCACCAGTCAGCATTGTTTATTAACGCCACTCCAACCACTCTGGCCACAAGATCGAAGACTCATCATCACATATTGTGGTCAGGAAATGCAAACAAAGCCATGTGTCTGCGGGGGATAGTTTGATGCTAAAGAGTTCAAACATAGTTAGGTGTGGTGGCACAAAACTATGAGCCCAGCGCCCACTCTGAAGAGCTCAAGCTAAAGAATCACAAGCTCAGTCCAGTCGGGGCAACTCACCAATTTGGCAAGACCCTGTCTTTAAAAAAAAATAGCAGTATGAAGGCTGAGTCTAATTCCCAAAACAACAACAACAAAAATCTTCAAACACATGCAGAAACATAGCACATGTGTGTAAAATACTAAACTAATAAATGATTATTCCAATCAACATGTACTGAATTGTTGCTAAACACTTGGAGGAAATTTATAGGATAATTTATCACCTAAAGATTTCTTTGGAGGTTGATAGGCTTCTCTTTACAACAATGCCAAAAAGGTCTTGTTTCTCAAAACGTGTTCCATGGACCAGCAGCAGTGGCAGCCTCTCCTAAGGGCCTTTTAGAAATGCAAGTTCCCAGGCTCCACTCTGGCGCCTCAGCTATGATCACTGTGTTAACAAGAGCCACAAGGAATGTGTCTATACATTAAAATTTCAGGAATATTATCAGAAAATTCTCCCTTTTTTAAAACTGTCCCTGTCCCTGACTGAAGACAGCTCAAGCGTGTACTGGACTATTCCTTTGGTAACCTGACATACATACAGTTGTGATCCTGAGCCAGCTCGCCCCCAGGTCCATTCCTCACTCTTCTGCTCTATCAACACTGCAGAGCAGTCCTGGAGGCCAGGGGCCCCAGGCAGCAGAGCTCAGGACGGCTCTGGCACAGCTCTCCAGATAGAGCTCTATAGTTCCAGCTCTGGTGCAGCCAGTTGCCCCTGCAGTCTGCCCTGTTCCTCCTTTGTCCCTAGCACCTGTGCCACAGCTCCCCTAAATCCAATGCCCTGTGGCTTCAACAATGAAAAGGGCTTCTGCTTCCTCCTGGACTCAGGTCAATACTCTAACGCATTTAGTTATTTCTATTAGACGCCACATATACCAGAGAAAGTTTATGAATGGCAGCTCTGCTACAAAAGAGAGTTGGTACATACGCAGCAAACCTCACTTCCCACATTTTGATGATCCCTAGCAACCCAGAAGAAAAAGCAGCCTTGAGCTATCTGTACAGCAGATGTGACTGTATTCCAAAATGCTAGTCCTTACAGTGTATTTTTAACACTGTACCCATTCTCTCTCCCTCAACCAGAACAGCTGGTATAGCAACTATTGTTTTAGGGGAAAAAGAAAAACACCTTGAAGAACAAAATTCTGGACTCAGACTGGAATCTGGGAGGAACTGAGCCTCTCCCACTACAGCTGTGACTTCACACCTGTAATTCACAGTCTACTCCACATTGAAGGACCAAGCAACAGGAGAGAGCAATGCCTCAGAGTTCCTCCCCAAGGCACATTGCGCTTAGATTCATTCTCTACGGTCCCTCTCCCTTGCCAAGGCTGAAAAGCACATCTTTGTGGGGCCAACCCTTCAAAATCTGGGCCTGACTACCTTTCCCACCTCTTCCAAATTCCACACAAGCTCATCACTTGCTGACTCAATTTCTGGCCATTTCCATGTATGCTAAACTTTACACAGCATCGAAATATAGAGGACACCATCCCCCTCCATGGAATGCTAAGTCCCTGAGGATCCCACACAAAGGTCACATCTTCATCCCTGCTGCCTGCTGGGGCCCTGCTGCCTGCTGGAGCCTGCTGGGGCTGAGCTTCCACAGCAGTCCTGCACAGGTGCGCGAATTTCCAACTCTTTAAGACCAGAATGAGAGGTCTGACTCACTGGGTTACCAACAGCCTAAGTTAATCATTTAAGGTGCCTAAAGCTAACCCAAAGATAAGTGCTGTCAGAGAAGAAGAACTGCTGAACTGCTGTGGACTCTATGATCTGGCCTATTATCATCCCAGTGCCATTACTCCTAGAACAGTACAGGAGTTAGGTACACATCTGCTGAATAACTGGAGCGCTTCCCAACAACCCAGTTTGTAACACGGTAGGATTTAACAGGATCCAAGGCTCGCTGGTCCGAGGGATCCAAGATAATGAAAGAAATGGTTCCCATGGTAAAGGAACTAACTGGCCCCGGAGGAAAAGCGCACTGCAGAGGATGAGACAGCCTGTGCCAGCCGGAACTGCCCCCACGGAGGCAACCTGCTGCCAGCCACCTGTCCAGCCACCTGCCTACGGAATCCCTGACCCAAGAGGGAGGGCTCACCAGAGCAAAAACCAGAAAACAGTCCCCACCAGGAACCACAATGGGGAAAAAAAAGGTGCAACTCCCCCACACACGCAGAAAGGATTTGTTCTTTGTGGAGCGAATGCCGAGTGTCCGGAGTTCTCCACGGAGAGTTGGGTGCCCGGCGGGTGCGCAGTGTTGGTTTCCCCGCAACAGGCAGCGCCGCTCGGGGACCGCGCACTCCTTCCTTCTCTCAGGGTGCAGGGGTGAAGGGGAACCCCGCACCCAGGAAGCGACGGGCTTCAGAGTCGCCACAGGACTCTGCAGAGCGATCCGCGGAGAGCCTGCCGGGTCCCAGAAACATGCAGAGTAGAGCCGGGGTGCAGAGCCTGGCCCCGGCCTCGCCTGCGCTTCCCGTGCGGCGCCCACCTGCGCCCCGCCCCACGCGTCCCCGCCGCTGCTCCGGCCCGTTACCCGGCGGGGGGTGCTCGGCCCAGGAGCGGTGGCCGGGGGACCCCGGACTGGGCCGGGCCAGGCCAGGTCGGGCCTGGCGGCCGCTCGCCCACAACCACGGGCCTCCTCGGCGGGAGCCGTGGCGTGAGGGACGCGCGCCCGGCCGCCGCGCCGCGGGCTCACCTTCTGGCGGATCTGGCCCGAAGTGGACACCTTGCGGATGAGCTTCTGCGGGGAGCCGGGCTCGGCCTCGGGCTCGCTGTCTGACGACTCCTCAGGCGGCGGCGGCGGCGGAGGTTGCGGCGGACCCGGCGGAGGGGCGCCCGCCGCCGCCATGCTGCCGGGCCAGCGCGCGCGCCGCGGGGGGCGGGGCGGGGCGGGCCGCGCGCTGAAGAGGCGGGCAGGGGCGGGGCCGGGTGTCCACAGGCCCCGCCCGGCCGCGACTCCCAAGAGCCATGCGCGCAGGCGCAGACGGGGGCGGCGCCGCGCGCCAGCCTCTCCTGGCCTGGTGGAGTTCGCTGGCCCGGCTCCCGGCCCCGCCTTGCCCTTGCTTGCGGGTTTTTTCCTTCAGGCACCATGTGTATTTGTTTCTCTATTCACTCTTGTCTGTCAGTCTGTCGCATCAGAGTGTGACCTCTGAGTAGCCGGGCCCGTCACGGGTGCCCTCTTTACGACGCGGGCGTAGGCGCGCACGCATGCGCGGGAAGACGGCGCACGGAGAGGACCCCAGGGCCGGGTGCGCCTCCTGCTTGGGTACCAGTGCGAGGAGAAGTGGGTCGGGCTGTATGCTCGGCCGCAGAGAGAAACGTGCGCTGTAACGGAGAGCAGATTTATACAAAGGTCCAGGGGCAAGAAGTAAAGAAAAAGAAAAGGCTGCTTTGGGGGTTCCTCGCTGTTTGGGGACTTGGGTTGGGAGGCTGCCTGCCGTGCCTGCTGGGGCGTGATCGGTTTAGACCCGGGCAGGACTGGGTCATACAGCTGAGCACTGTGACCCAGGCTTTGAAGTCATCGTAGGAAAGGTGGCCAGCTTGGGTTATGAGAAGATTAGAGACAGGAGGACGGAGACTCAGGAGGAACCCCGAGTTGTGCACAGGCTCTGCCCTTCCAGGGGCAGAAGAAGGAAGTACAATTGGAGAAGCGATCACTCTGAGTTTGGGGTGCCCTCGGAAATCAACAAAGAGAAGGAGTTGGCCGCCACCCAGGAGGTTTTCTGCTATGCGGGGCAAACCCATGGGGTGCTGTCCAGGTGTCCCCTGTCCCTTGCAAAGGGCTGCTGCTGGAGACCACTGGTCGCCAGCCTGCCTGCCAGTCACAAACTCGGCCCTGGGCAGTGCTGTGGAGGTTGGAATAAGCCCAGCACCGCCAGAGGCCACGGGATAGCATGTGACACAGGGACAGAGGCGGTGGTGGCCTCACAGCCAGCACAGGAACACTCCAGTACAGGCCAAAGAACCCAAATGTACTAGGCCATGTCCACTGTCCAGGCACGTGTGACTAATACACTTCAGTTCCAATCAAAAAACAGTTTTCAGTTCCTCGAGCACACTAGCCACGTCTCACATGCCCAGAAGCCACACATGTCTTGACAGTACCACAACGGACTGTCAAATACAGAATCATCCTTCTTGGGATGTCCTGCCAGCTAGGACAGTGATTGATCTGGGGTATTGAGCACCCAGCATGAACCAGACACCTGACCAGCCCCCTGAGCCAGAAAGATGCTTTCATTCTAGTGATGAAGCCCTCACGTAAAATGCCCACATCCCTCTCCACAGCTATAGCAGAGGGGCAGGACCTGGACCAAGGCATTACCCAGCCCACCTCACTGAGGGCTCTCTCCCCTGGGAGGCTAAGGTAGGAGGATCGCCACGAGTTCAAGGTCAGCCTGCGCTACAGAGTGAGACCCTGGCTCAAAATAAACAAAAGAGCCACAGGGAAAATGTTACTACAGGGAAAATGTTACAAGTGACACTGGGTGTTAGAAGCTGTGACTGCAGAAAACTACCTGCCATTAGGAATACTGAAGAAGGGACTGAGGATTTAGCTTAGCGGCATAAGCACTTGCCTTGCTAGCAGGCGGTCGTGAGTTCAATCCCCGGTACCGATAAAAATGAAAAAGACAAAAAAAAAAAAAAAAAAAAAGGAATACTGAAGATTATCACACTAGGAGGAGCCTAAGGAAATCTGTTGGTGCAGGCCCACCCATAACCCCAGCACTCTGGGAGGCTGAAGCAGGAAGAGCAAAAGTTCCCCACTAGGGATTGGGGGTTTAGCTTAATGGCATAAGTGCCTGCCTGGCAAGCACGAAGTTGGGTGTTTGATCCCCGGTGCCAAAAAAAGCTTGGGCAATTTAGCAATTTACCAAGACCTTGCCTTAAATAAAAAGGGATGGGGTTATCCTTCAGTCCAAAGGCCTTGAGAACCGCAAAACAAAGAAAAAAAAGTCTGAACAAAGTATGGGCTTAGTATTAGTTTTAACTTTTTTTGGGAGGCAGGGTGGCTTTTGGCCTTCAGTTTAGTAATAATGTAGCACTTCTCATTCAGTATGGCAAATGTCCCCAGTAATGTAACGTGTTAACAATGGGGGATACTGGGCTGAGGCAGCCTCTCTGTGCCATCTTTTCTGTAAATCTAAAACTGTTAGAAATACCTTATCTAAAAGAAGAGTACTGTATTAGGCTTAATAAGAATTGTGTACCCTTCTCCCAGGCACAGTGGCACATGCCTAGCAGAAGAACTGCTCCAAGTTCAAGGCCAGCACGGGCTACCCAGTGAGACTCTGGCTCAAACCAAAGGAAGAAGAAAAAAAAAACTGCATTGTGCTCTGAAGGCAGAGAAGCCTTACTGTGGCATGAATTTTCTTCCACCAGTGAAAAGGGCCTTTGATCTCCTTGAAGCAGGCGGTACTGCTGTTCCTACCCTGCCCCTCCCCAGGGAAGAGAGCATTCCCTCGGGTGGATCTTTGCAGAATGAGTCACCCATGAATCATGTCTCCAGCCGCTGCACCCTGAGTTCACCCCACCTCCGGGCACAGGAAGGTGGCAGTAATAACACCCTGCATCCATCTATCTGATCCTTTTTGTTGACCTCATCAGAAGGAACCGTTTCTCATCGGGACAGATCCACAGCCCACCTGCACACAGCGGCAAATCACCTCCACCCTGAGCAAGAGTGACAACTGGCCCTGGCTGCTGGGCACAGTGCCAGCTGCCTCCCACATTTTCAAAGATGCCCAGCCCTCACCCTGCCTGTCCACCTCAAAGATCAGTAAGGTCAACTGTCCACGCCCCTTGTAATCAAATGTAAAGCAACACAGAACATGAAGGGAATGGGAAAACAAACACCCTGAGAAGCAAGTAACTGTGCATGTGATGAACTGCAGAGACCTGAGTACACACAGGCGTGTAAGGTGGGCAGATTCACAGGCAATGGGTGGACCATGCCACTCTGAAAGCCCTGGCTGTGATGTGGGACTTTGTACAATATCTTGCCTTTGGGGAAGGGTCTGTATGAGCTCTGTACTGTTCCTTATGACTGCAGGTGGACATGCAATGATCTCAATATAAGTTTCAATTGGAAAAATCATTTAGCAGAGTGCGGTGGCATGTGCCTATAATGCTGGGGAAGCTGAGGCAAGAGAAACCCATGAGCCATCCTGGGCCTCATAATGAGTTCAAGGGCAGCCTAACTGCAGAGCGAGAACCTGCCTTTAAAAACCTTAAATGTAAAATAAAATAAAATTGAAAAGGGGATGTGGTTCAGTGGTAGAGCACCCTGGTTCAGTACCAGGCAACCCACTGGGCAGCCATGGTTTCTCACAAGTGCTGAGCTCCCCTCCTGGCCCCCACACTCTCCTGCTGCCATTTAGCACCATCCAGGGGCCAAAGGGTATTTACAGACTCCAGAAGCCAGAGTTTGCAGCAGGGCTCCCAATCCCTCTGGCTGTGGTGATAAAGGGGAATGAAACTCTCAGCCTAAAAGGTGATGAGTACGAGTTCATGTTCTCTAAAACTGAAGAATGAATTTCAGGAACCACAGAGGTGAAGAGCAGAATATATTTACTGAGAGAAAGAAAGCTTCTGCCTGGGAGAGAGACAGAGTGGTCACAAGTGGGTTACAAGGGACCTTGTCTTTTCTTGGGACTTTTTAAAAGCAAAACCACAAAATGAGGTGGGTCTAACAGCGAAGAGGGACCTGGGAACTCACGAGGTGGCCATGAGGTGGGACAGAACAATGGTCTACCAAGAAGGTTAATTGCTCAGGTAAAACTGATTAAATAGGGGACAAATGGGGAAGCAAGTCATGCAGCAAGCGGGCATGCTTAAAAAGACCAGGGACTCCTCCTGTAGGGGGGTGGGATGGTGATTCCTGGCTTCCTCAGGCTGATAGAGACCTATTTAGAATATCAATCCCTGATACTTATCCTTAGGAAGTATGTGGGTGCATTTGATTTATCTTTTGTGCTGAGATCTGGCCCACAGAGGAGGTGTCTGTCTCCCGCACAGTTGCAAGGTGCCTGGGCTTCTGCACTGGCTCCTGCAAGGGTCCAGCCCTGTCTGAGTGCCTAGAATATTTCTGTGTAACTCAGTTGCCTGGAACAGTGGGACCTGGGCTAAAGCACCTAACTTTTCTGGACTCAGTTTTCACATCTGGCAGATGGGAAAGGACCAACCTTCGAGCACTGTTGGGATGGTTTCTATGTAAAGGGCCTGTCACCAGGCGGGCACCCAGCACCTGGTAGGACCCCTGCTTCTCTAGCCCTCTGTTTCGTTATTGCACAACTTCATCCCAAGTTCTCAGGTACCACTTTATGCAACATTTTTTTGTACCTGGAATTGAACTCCTGACCTCACGCTTACTAAGCTGGTGCTGTGCCACTGAGCTGTATCCCCAACCCTTGTAAAACTCTTTTGTATCCCGCTTCTTGCACTGCACCTGCACCTATACCCACCCCAAATCCTGGGGCGCCTGTTCAACCTGCCTGCACACTTCCTGTCTCACGGGGGATCTGAACACCAGCAGAGAGGATGATACAACACTGCAGGCTGTCCCACATCCCTGCCGCTGCCTTGCTGGGGCAGCTAGCTGCTGGCTTCCGGCCCCTCCCCCAGGCAGGCCAGCTGCAGGCCATAAACAAGCCAGCACCTGGAGGCTGCATGGGGACATTTTGGCACCGAAATAACTTAGAGGGTAAAGGCCGCTCTGCCCTCCGATCTCCAGGGATCGGTCTTCCAGCCCTTCCCTCCACTGTCCCACCCACACAGTTCCAAAGGTCGGGACTATTAACATCCACGATGACTTAGGATGTCCTGGGGTCAAGCAATGCAGGAACCAGCAGGCTGGTCCTCTCACCAGGCGCTCAGGGCTGGTGCTGGCTGCTGGCCGGGGAGAGAGAGCTCTTCTCTAGCAGGAGCTAAGCCTGCAGCCCTGCACCCCTGGCCATGCAGGGCCAGCATCAGCAGGACCATGCACAGCCTTGAAAGTCCCCAGCCCACCACCCTGAAGGTCCCTCTGCCTGGGTGTCCCGAGAGGGGCCCCTAGGCCTGAAGGAGACTGTTTGACCCTAAGACCATGTTCTATCTCCATTGTTATTATTGTCATGGTGTTTGTTTGTTTGTTTTTGGACTGGGGCTTGCTATGTAGTTTAGGATGGTCTTTCTTTTTTTTTAATTAGTACATGTTTGCTGTAGATGAAGTTTACATTCATTTTAGAAGGTAGGTACATGTACATAACACACCTTGACTTTTTTGTTTGTTTGAGACAGGGTCTCACTATGTAGTCCAGGCTGGCATCAAACTCACGGTGCTCCTTCTGCCTCAGCTTCCCAACTGTTGGGATTACAGGCCAGTGCCACCACACCTGGCTTGATACTTTTTAGATTGGTCCCGAACTCACCATATAGCCCAGGCTGCCCTCGAACTCATGGTGATTATCCTGCCTCAGCCTCCTGAGCACTGCGATTTCAGGCTTGTGCCACCACTCCTGGCTACGTTGTTATCTTAGTTCCAGAAATGAACCCTTATGCCTGCCAGCACCAGCCTCGAGTCAGCACACAGGCCCGCTCTTGCTTCGTCTGCGTGGGATCCCTGCAAGCTTTCTGAGAGGACCCTTCAGGTCTCCATTCCAGGTCCCACCCTGAAAACCAGCCTGGAGCCCCATAGACAACCCCGATGCTGGGGCTTGATGTGTGTGGAACCCACACCCTGTCCAGCCCTCTGCCACTGATTGGGCCTCAGAACCCCAATCCCCAGTGCACCCCCCACACAGCCCTCTTCTCCTCATGTTGCTGCTTAGTGAGTGGGCCAGTAGTGTAGAACCCCCAGACTGCTAACTGCTCCCCAAGAGCCCAGGCTGTGTGTGTCAGAGTCTGTGGCTTTGGCAGCAGACCTGGGCCGGGGCCACCGTAAGCCAGGAAGGGAACACCTGAGAGCACCCCACACCGCCTCTGTCTTCCTCCCGAAACACAGCACCCTCATCCCATACACCCCCTCCCCATCTCAGTGAGACCCTCAGCCAGGAAGTCCAGGAAGCTCCACAGCTTGCCCCCAAGCGCTTACTCAGTTAGCTAAAGCCGAGCCAGTCAAATTCTCCTTCCCAGCAACTGTGAGCCCCTGGGTGGGAGTGGGGTGGGGGTAGGGGTGGACTGAGCTGCTGGCCCTGCCCCTGAGGCTTTTGCTGCCCACCCAGCAAACCCTATCTCCCCACCTCCTTTTCTTTAAAACGGAGTCTCACTGAATTACCAAGTCTGGCCTCAAATTTAAGATCCCCCTGCCTCAGCCTCTCAGAGTGCTGGGATTGCTGGGATTATAGCTGTGCACACCTCACCTGGCTGCCCTCAGTTCCGATCTCCACCACTCCAGGTCCTCCAGGGATACACTGACTGACTCTGATTTTGCTGCTTGCATCTAACAGAAACCAACAACAACGCAGACATCAAGCAGGGACTTGGAACTCAAAGTTGAATCACAGTAAAGGACTTTTTAAGGCTTGTTTACACTATGTGGTATTCTCGAAGTTCAGAATTTGGGGCCTCCATGCTGGCGGATTTTTTCTTCTCGAAACTGTGTTTTTGGAGGCCCTGTCACTGGCAGATGCCCCAGCTGTGCTGCACGCAGCTATCTCGAGGGTTCTCACTTTTGTTCTTATGGTCCAGAAGACACTGCCAAAATGCCCTGCACCTTTTAAGGCTTGGCTATTACAGTATTTTATTGTTAAATTACATAACTGCAAGAGACTTGACATAGTGTTTAAACTATAAAAATAGGCCTTTTACAGTGTTTTTCTGACCACATCTGAAACTCATGTTTTTTTACAATCTACAGGTGCTCTAGGAATGCAACCCCATGGATTTCAGGGCTCTACTCTTTTGAGGGAGGGTTGTTCGGGGTTTTTTGAGGCAAGGTTTCACTGTGTGTCCTGGGCAGGCCAGGAACTCATGTCAGCCCTCCTGCATTAACCTCTCAGGAGTGCAGGGATCACAGGGGTACGACACCACGCCCAGCTGTACTTGTTCTCTGCTTAGTATAGCTCAGGAGCTCCTTAGGGACGACAGAGCTCAGATTGGTTGGGAAATTAAGACCCCCATGTGTTTCCCGAGAAACAACTTAGACCAGGACTCTGGAAAGGCCCAGAACACCCGGGGCTCCACTAGGAAGCACCTGGACTTCCCGATCCCGCCTGGGCCATGCTGGGTGCTTGGAAGGCTGGCCTTCCTCCCAGTGCTTCTCCTCACTCCTCCATGCTCCAGGGACCCTAGGGTGGTACCTTCTGTGTCCAGAATATCGGCTCAGCAAACCGGGCCAATCAGCCAGACTCATGACCGGGTGCAGGGACACATTTTATTTCTGAAGGGAAGACTCCTATTTCCATAGCTAGCACGATTCTGAGGCTCGCTCGCAGCACGGGAACTACAGGCCCTGCACCAGCTTCGAGCTGCCGGTCACTCATCGGGGGCAGCTTCCTCTTCCTCTTTCTTCCCTTCCCCACCTTCGCCCACATCTTTCAGATTTTGGCGTGCAAACTCCTCGAAAACCAAATTTTCATCCTGTAAACTAAAAAAAGAAAAAAGAAACAGTTTGGTCAGTACATGCTTTTGGTTTTGGTTTTGCTTTGGTTTTGCTTTTGTTTTTTTGAGACAGGCTCTCACTATGTAATTCAGACTGGTCTTGAACTCATTATGTAGTCCAGGCTGTCCTCAAACTGATGGTGATCCTCCCGAGTGTTAGGATTATAGGTATGTGCTACCACACCTGGCTGTACAAGCTCCTTTTAACTGAGGATACCTTGAGTGAAAGCCCTCGACTTGTTTTTGTCTTTTTGAGACAGGGTCTCTCTGTGCAGTTCAGGCTAGCCTTGAGCTCACTTTGCAGCCCAGGCTGGTCTCAAACTTGCAATGATCCTCCTGCCTCAGCCTCCTGAGTGCTGAGATGACAGGAGCATACCATCTCCAGCTAAACCTCAATCTTTTTACACCAAAGGAACCAAACAGGGTTCCCGGAAATGGAACAGGAGACCTCAGGATTTTCCTTTAAAAGCTTTTTACTAAACAAAAGTCAGAGAAAAGGCAATCATTCACAGAGGGAAAAACCAGCAAAACTGTGGGTGCAGGCACCTAAGTCCTTGGGAACAGAGGGGTACAAGGGACATGCACGGACACTCCGAAAGGGGGGTCATGTGGGAGGCAGGCTCACAGGACACAGGGAACTCGGGGTGGCATTGACTAGCTTACCCGTCCTTTGCTGGAAGCACCAATGAAGGCATGAGGGAGAGGAAGGGAGAGAAAGGGAGGTGGGTTAACATCAGGTCTGGATGGCAGCACCTGGACATCTTTGCCTTAGCATAGCATGGTTTGAGAGGTCAGAGGGCGTAGGGACGCATCATGCATGATTATGGTTTTGAGGGGTTTTTTTTGTTTTTTTTTTTTTGTATTTTTACCGGTACCAGGGATCGAACTCACAACCACAGGCTTGCAAGGCAGGTGCTTATGCCGCTGAGCTAAATCCCCAGCCCTGGTTTTTGTTTTTTGAGGCAGGGTCTCACATGGAACTCAGGCTAGCATTCAGCTCACAGTGATCCTCCTGCCTCAGCCACCTGAGTTCTGGGGCACCAGTGTGCACCACCACACCAGGCTCTGCCTTCAGTTTTGTTTTGTTTTGGTTCCAGGGATCAAACTCACAACCTTGTGCTTGCCAAACAGGTGCTTCTGCTGCTGCACTAAGTCCTCGGCCCATGCTCTCAGTTTTTAAGTGTCAGTTTTCTCCCTGTGGTGTGGGACTGGAACCCAGGGCCTCAGGTCCACTAGATCAGTGCTATACCACCGGGCCACAGCACAGCTTCACCTCCAGCAGCCCCACTGCCACCAGTGATGTCACCTCTAGCGCTCTTTTCAAAGGGTTTCTTGCTACACACTCTGTGACCCACAGAAGTCCCAGTCACCACACCGCAGGATGAGGAGCTCCAGGTGCCATCCCCTCGGGCTCTCAAGGGTGGGGGGCACCTGGAGCTCCTGTCCCCCAGCACCCTGGGGCAGGGTGTATACTGCAGCTCAAGGGCTGCACCTGGCCCCTCCCATTTCGGCTTAGGTGCACCGCTGACCCCCAAGGCCAGCCTGTCTTCCCGGGGTTTGTGTCCCCAGGTGACTTAGTCTCCGCAGTGCCTTTTGCTGTTCTTTAGTTCTCTGCCCACCTGTGCAGTTCTGGGGCAGGCAGGGGCCCTGCGGGGGATCCAAGGAGCACATCATGGTTCCATGTGTGCCTCTGCTTTTGTGTCCCTGGCCCCCTGAAAGCCAGCACGGAGAGGGGACTCTGGAGGGCACAGTGGAACCTAAGAAAAGCTGACCACTGACAAGAAAGTCCCAGCAGCCCACAGTACTATGGGGGATGGCACACTGACCAGACCTCCGCCCTGCAGCGGTGACCGCAGCAGGGAGAGGCAGTCGCACCCCAGATGCGGGGCAGATGCTCTCTGGAGGATGATAAAACTCACTAGCGTTTTGTTTTGCTTTTGTTTTTTGCTTTTGTCTTTTTGAAACAGGGTTTGACTATGCAGTTCAGGCTGGCTTCAAACTTAGAGGGGTCCTTCTGCCTCAGCTTCCCAAGTGCTAGGAGTACAGGCGTACACCACCACCACGCCCAGCCTCGCAAGCAGTTTTACAGCACTTCACAGGGACAGAGCCTTGTGAGCAGACAGGAAAGACAGGAGACACAAGATGGGGTCATTTAAAAAAGAAAAAAAAATCAGATTATTTGTGCATCTCAGGGAATCAGAGTTCTGCGCTCCCAGAGGGACTTGTCTTAACTCTTGCTCCCTGAAATAAAATCTGTGTCATCCTGACTCCATGAGATGTCACTGTAAGGGCTATGAGGCCCGGAGAGTTAACATGTCAGAGGTGGAAAAGAAAAACTCCACCACTCCCTAATTAAGTCAGAAGTCTGTCTAAAAGCCACCCAATAGACCGTGACCTGTCCTCAGGTGAGTGTCTTCCTCAGTCCTTGACAGAAACTAGGAAGCACCTTAATCTCACAGAGTTAAACCCTGTTTTCTGGTGTATTTCAAGATGGCTTGAGCTGGGTTTTCCTGGATTGTCACCCTAATTAATTCCAAAGAGATGTCTAAAAATAGTAAGTTGATGCTTCAAACATAAATGAATCAAAAGTATATGACTACCCTGTATTTTCCCCCCAGGAGGAAGAAGCTTTTGGAAAAGCATATTAAAGATTTGAATCTAAAATAGTTGGAAAGATGCTGGGCACAGTGGCATGCACCTATAATCCCAGCACTTGGGAGGCTGAGACAGGAGGACTTCTGGGAGTTTGAGGCCAGCCTGGGACATACAGTGAGTTTAAGGCCAGCCATAAACTACATAGTGAGAGTTTGTCTCAAAACAAACAAACAAAAAATTGGAAAGAGACAAAACCTAAAATGAATATGGGGATTTGCCCCAATATTTAAATGAAATTTCATTATCAATATCAAAAAACTACTTTAAAAATATAAGAAAAATAAATCCTGAAGGTTTATACCACTTTGACTTAAAATATTCATTACCTAACTATGGAGAGGTCATCCTCAGATGGGTTCACTTTTTTCTCTTGTCCACCAGCCTGCTTTCATCTACTGTGAAGAGTTTTTCCTCACAATTTCTGAGGTTACACCCATTTCTTTTCTGCTGCCTTGTCTGCTTTTCTGTTTGGTAATGGGGACCGAAATAGGGGTAGAGGGGTCCCACCATCAAACTACACTTTCAGCCCTTGTTGTGTAATTTATTTAGTTACTTTTGTTTCATTTTGTGATTTTTTGAAACAAGGTCTCATTTTGTAGTGCAGGCTGGCCTTGGACTCACTAAGTCACCCAGGCTGACCCTCAGACTCAATGGAGTCCTCCTGCCTCAGCCTCCCAAGTGCTGGGATTACAGGTGTGAGCCACCATGCCCGGCTTGGCCCATGTGTTTATAATTCAGACACGTGGAGGTGTCAGGAACCTGGCCTGACCCCATCTTGGTGTATTGTCTGTATTCTCACCACCACTGCCACTTGCAAGACATATTTCTCAGCTTCTAGATGACTGTTAGTGTTTCCAAGTGAACTATGAGAGTGTCTTTTTTTCCCCAAATGAAATACAACAGCCTCAGGCTCTCAAGTTTACTGTCATCTAAATCATCATTAAATCTAAATCCAAACGGTTGGCAGCAGAGTTCCACTTGGAAATCACCCCTGAGAACTCCGCTGAGGCAGCCTTGTGCAGGATCAGCCAAGCTGTCCTGTGGCCACGTCTACCAACCAGGATGCGCTCAGTACAGAGCAGATCCCCCAAGTGACACCTGGTTGGCGACTGCCATACTCAGCAGTGCAGTGGAGAAAGACTGGGAGCAAAAATGTCAGAAACCTGCCCAGGGGAAGAGCTGGGGACAGCAGCATGACTGACCTGTGTCCTCCGGCTGGGGATGCATGAGGCGGAAGGGAAGCTCGGTGGCCACTTCGCTGGAAGAGAAGGATGCAGACTGGTGAGTACACACACGTGTGTACACACATGCGTACACACGCACTCGCATGCATGCATGCACACAACTATAAGTCACACAGCAGAATGCTGTGACCACAAAGACTTGCAAAAGGTTCTCAGGCCCAGGGCAAAGGACAATTCAGTGAGATTCCCAAGAAAAACAAATAAAACAGAAATCAGGAAGTGGTCAAGCAGGAATTTGAAATGCAATCCCTGGAACGCAATCCAGGAACTTCCCTTTGGCCTGGCTGGGCTGTCCTCGCCCTCCTAGGTTTAGGTTTCCCATAGCCCTGGTTACTAGTTGCAGTGACATGGGCTGGGGATTTAGTTCAGTGGCATAAGCACCTGCCTTGCAAGCACGTGGTCGAAAGTTTGATCCCTGGTACTGATAATAAATAAATAAATAATTAATTAATTAGTTGCAGTGACACCATCATGTGTGAAGAGATGAGGTGAAATCCCAGAGGATAGTTCTTAAAACTATTCTTTGCGTGTGATTGTGGTGGTGCACACCTGTAATCCTGGCACTTGGGAGGCTGAGGCAGGTAGATCACTGCAAGATTGAGGCCAGCCTGGGCTACAAGATCAGTGCGGGCAAACCTAGATTACATAGTGAGGCCCTGGAGAGAGAGAGAGAGAGAGAGACAGACAGACACACAGACAGACAGACAGACAGAGAGACAAAGAGAAAGACAGACACAGACACAGAGACAGATGTGTTGAACAGAATGAAGAGAAGTATAGTGCACCAAATTCAGCAGCTAAAGGGCTTCAGAGTGACTTGGAATGAAAGCAAAAAGAATTGAGGAAGGAAGGCGGGCAGAGAGGAAATCTGGAGAGAGGATGAACAGAACGGTGGGGAGGGGAGAAACAGAGGAGCCCTGCTCTACCCCAGGCCGACCTCTGGACAGAGCACAACTCTTAACAAAGCCCCAGGTGATGCAGGGAGGAAGAACAGGTATGACCTGGATTTCTGGCAAAGGGAGACAGGTGATAAGGGAAGAGAGCCTCCTCAGGTCTCAAACATTTTGTTCGTTTCATCTTGTAAGACTTTGAACTTGTGGGGCTCCTCCTGTCTCAGCCTCCTCAGTGCTGGGATTATAGGTGTGTGCTATCTCAAGTATTTCTGAACTTATCACTTCTTTGTGCAAGATTTAAAAGACAGATGTCACTCTTAACACCTGCCAAAAGGTGAAAACAACCCAAGTATCCACCAACAGATGAACAGATAAACAGAAAGTGTTCTATCCATATAGGAGAATATTACTCAGCCATGAATAGGAATGAAGGACTCGTATATGATACAATGTGGACGAGCCTTGAACACGTTAGCTAAATGAAGAAGCCAGTCACCAAAAAGCCACAGATTCCATTTGTAGGCAATGTCCAGTATAGGCAAATCCAGGAGAGGGAAAGCAGAGCAGCAGTTGCCGGGGTGCAGGGAGGGGAAATGGCCCGATCACATCACGGCACGGGGGCAGCTTTCTAGGTGGTAAAACTGCTCTGGGTCTAAGCAGAGGTAGTGGTTGTAAAAGACGGGGAATACACTTACTACCACTGAGTTGTGTACTTTGAAAGTGCAAAATGGTAAAATGGTATTTGTGTTTTGTACCACACACACAGGAAAGACAGCTGTGTAAAATGTGCAGCATTCCATGTGTGAGTTGTGCGAGTGTGTTTGTGAGTGAGTAATTTGTGTGTGAGTGTATGTATGTGCACACATGGTCAGCAGCCAAGCACATTTCGACACACCCAGAGGCAGTGGGGACCATTCACCACACCTCTGCCTGGGAGCCAGACCTCCCCAGCTGCCGTCGGGACTCCAGCCTGCTGGCCCGGGCACCCTGGGAATCAGGCAGAAGCAGGATCTGGAGCAGCTTACCTGGAGGTGAGCTCTCCCAGAAAGCTAGGAAACAAAATGACAGCTGTGAGCAGGTCCCCAGCCACCACCTGGCTCCACTCTGCTCCTCCCAGCCACACCACCTGTCCTCAGTGCCTCGAGCTGACTCCCACCTTCCAGCACCTCGGCGCCCCTTCACCTCTGCTCCATTCCGCCCCCCGTCCCCTGTGACTCCCTCGCCTGCTCAAGAGGATCCTCAGGCTGGAGCGCAAGCCACAGATTGAGTTTCCCAGCCCCTGTGACCCATGGGGCTGCTGTCTGCAAGAAGGGTAGCTGGGTAGCTTCCAAATCCAAGGTGCTCTTTTAGCAGGAGGTGCAGTACAGTGTGTAATCCTCACGCACCTGTGCACAAGCGCTCAGCCATTTCTGAATGACCCACAGTGCCTAACACTAGAGCACGTGTGTAAACAGGTGGTAGGCCACGCTGTTCGGGAAAGGAACAGGGAACAGCCTTGCTCCACACACATTTTCCCCAGTGTTTCCTGCTGGCTGAATTGGTGGGAATGGAACCCCACGAGACAGAGAATCACCTTTCCCTCCTGCTCAAAGCATCTCTACCCCACTTCTAGGTCTTCTTGTGGAAAAGGCGAGAAAGTATAACCCATGCACTTTTTGCCTCGAGTAAAACTGAGGGACCCTCCATTTACTTAGATATGTGGGCCGTGGACACAGGAACCCATGGATGGTCGCACAATGGAAAGCAGAAGAAAAATAAAAACTCAAATTTTTTCTTTTCAGTGAGATTCAGCAAATGAAGAAATTGGTTTCAGTACATAACAGAGGAAGTGTGTCTTGCACTCTGAAACACGGGCACTCCTGTGCGCAAGGAGCCCCCTGGGGTGCGGGTACACACGGGTGGGAGGAAGGGTCCCGTTTGGTAGCCAGATGCCTCTGAAGTCCCCATCACTGAGAATTCCCTGTGGAATTCCCTCGGGCAGGCGTCACCGTCTTCCCGAGTACTGTGTGACATCTGGCTACTTTGACTGGGGTAGCCCAGGAGATTCCACCCATGTGCACACGCAAGTCCCCTTTCTCCAGAGTGGTGGCCAGAGGGCGCGACTTTCCCAGTCGACTGTCCTTGGCAGACTCAGGGAGCTGACAAAGAGTCCTCAGAGAAGGGACAGTGAGGAGCACAGGCAGGGACACTTACCCCGACACAGTGAGCTTCACCTTGATCTGGTAGGACACCAGGATGCCCAGCACGGTGCGGTCTATGCCCTCCTTAATGCTGCATGACAGGAGGGAGAGAAGGGTGAGGGACACCATGGAGAGCAGTATCCAGGAAGGGACCAATCATCTCCAGCACCGGCGACCTCTCCCAGGCTCCGGGAGACCCAGCGTTGACACCCTGGCATGTGGAGTCCTACATCACCCCTGCAGCAGCCATCACCCCTGCAGCAGCTGCCCAGGGCAGAGCGCCCTGTGAGCTACTGTCTTCCCAGACCGGGCCGTTGCTGACCAGTGGACCCTGCTCTGCCATGGACGGACTTAGGGACCTGGGCAGGACTCTCACTGCATGGCAGCCCGCCCTGCAGTAACCTCCTCAGCTGTCAGGCGAGGCAGGCACCGCCTCCTCACCCGAGTGCCTGCGCTGTGCATGTTTGGGAGCCACTTGGTACACTCTAATAGGGCACCTCTGTTGCTGTCCTGCTTGTGGCACCCTTACGGGGTCTTGGGTATCAATTTCCCTGTCTGTCTCTCCCTCACGATCACACTTTAAAACCCAACACCACTGCGTGTCAAGTTATCCTCAGACAACCCGCCAACCGCTGCCAGGTGTTCGCTGTGCTGGGCACCCCATGCCCCACATTGGTCCTGCAGTGTGAGCGGCTGAGCTAAGGCTCTCACAGTTGCCACGGAGATGGCATGCTGGGCACGGAGGGACCCCAGTGCATTACGTGGGGAGAGGCCTCCAGCCAGATCTTGGCTCTTCCCCAAACCTCTGAGCTTTCCGATAGCAGATTCCCAGGCATGTTGATTTCAAAGCATCCCTCTGGGCAGCACTTTCTTTTGTTTGTGTGGGTTTGCTTTGTTTGGTTTTTTGAGACAGGGTCTATAGCCCAGGCTCAAACTCATAGAAACCCTCCTGCCTCAGCCTCCCAAGCACAAGAGGACAGGAGTGCACCACCATGCCTGGCTGTGGAGCTCTGGAGCTCTGGAGTCTAAATGCCCTGCAGCCATTCCTCACCCTCCCCGGCAGGAATGAGTAAATGTGTGAGCGCAGCCAACGCCAAGGTTCAGTTGTTCTGTGTCAGGCACTGCACTCCCCTCGGGCTGTCTCAGCCTGTGTCACTGCTCCAAGCTCCTAGAGGTTGGAAGTGTCACCACCCCTACTTAACAGTCAGCTCAGCTCACCCACCCAGGGTGCCCCTCAGGAGGTGCGGCTGAAAGAGGAGGGCTTCCTGGGGCCCCCACACCTGCTTCATGTGGCCTCCAGTCACAGGGACTCACATGGTGCTGGAGGCCAGGTTGGTGTCCTCGTGCTTGATCTTCCCATCCAGCGCAAGGCCTCTCCGCTCTCGGTTGTTCGCCAGCAGGGGCAGCAGTGTCAGAGTCTTGTTCAGGGTGCTGTTTGGAGCCACTTTTTCCCTGTGGGAAGAACATGGGAAAATTTACAACCCCGCAGCTGGCCACCACGGTATCTATGCCAACCCCGGTGGCCATGTGTTTTTGGTTGTGTGTGCTGGTGGCACAGACACACCCACATCCCCATCCCAGTGCTGGGACAGAGGAAGGCAGGGTGTGGCCTGGGACCACTTCCTGAGCATGGTCTCTGAACAGCTGGAATCCCAGTGCCTCTCCCGGAGGGACCTCCCTGCTCCATCTCCTGAGGGAATTTAAAGCAGCTGCTGGCCTAGGCCACCTCTGGTGCCTGCAGGAAGTGCCTCACAGAACTGTGCCGGAGCCGGAACCCTCCCACCTGCCCCTCCAACGAGCTGGATTCGGGCAGCAGCAATGACAGAAGCAGACACTGCCATGGAAAGGTGGCTGCAGTAGGAAGGCACCTTGGCCATGGGCTTGGGTGGTGGCCTTTCCTGCCGCAGAGCTTGCCAAAGGATAGGCCAAGGTCCTGGGGCCACTTCCCAAGGCCTGCAGGATTTGGGAGTGGGCAGTAGGCCGCAGCTTGGAACCCAGCTGCAGGAGGCCTGAAGCCCAAGGAGCCACCAGATCAGGGACAGGGGTTTGTGTCCTGCAGCCTTCTGAGGGACCTGCTAAATTGACCAGAAACTGGGACCTGGCTCAGTTTCCAGCCTCCCTCCTGACCCCCAGGGATCTCAGAACATTTTCCAGGCTCCCAAGAAGCATTCCTGTTACTGAGCATCCACCAACAGACCTGCCAGGGCCAGGACCCCCAGGGCCGGAGAATGGCACAAAAAGCTAGCAGTGAGCTATGGTTCTTTCCTGCTTCCCTTCGTGGCAGGCCTAGATCTCAACGTAAGGCTGAAGGTGCTTAGAGTAACAGTTCACCTTCAAGTTACCTTTTAAACATCATGTAACATTATCTCAGTGAATCGGTTTCTCTTCTTCATCACCAATCCCTCCCTGCCACGCCAACCCTCTGCTCATCCTGGGGATGATTTTTACACACACACAGCTTAGCACAGGCCAGCTGAATAAGGGGAGAGGCACTTCCCGGTAGGGCATAATCTTCCTCCCTGGCTTCCTAGGAAATGAAACTCTCAGACCTCCTAGCACAAAGCGAGACCCTGCAGGACTCCCTGTCTGTGGGAGGAAGCCACGGTGGGCATCTTGTTTGGTTTCGAGTCTATGAGATGGACAGAGTGGGGGCCAAGAGTGGAGCTGGCTCCCTACTCTGGTCACTGGTACACGGTTTTCAGATTGAAGCGAAGATCAAAAGCCCGCACCCCCAGCCCGGCTGACTGCGGAGGGGCAGAAAGGGCCTGCTGTTCCCACCGGGAACTTCCCACCCTGAGTGTTGTCCTCTCCTCAGTGGTCAGCATGGGTGGATCGAGGAGCCCAGTGACGCTGACCTTCCTTGCCACCGGAGATCGAGAAAAGGGGAAGAAAGTGAAAAGCTGGGGTCGGGCCAGGCTTGCTGGTTCCCTCGTGGTCTGAGCAAAAGAGGAAGCTGACAGCAAAGGAAGGCTACCAGCCCCGGAAATGGAACCGCAGCTGCTACTTACTGCACCTCCTCCATGGCCACAGGCTTGATGTAGTAATCGCTGGAGTAGAGAACCACATTGGCCACCTGCTCCACTGCAGAGGGAGGGGGAGTTGGTGAGCAGCACGGACCTCGTCTACCCCGTGCCCCCCCCAGCGCTCCCCCCACCCTGTCCCTCTTTCCAGGATCATGGCAGGGCCACGCCTGTTGGTGACCACTTTGGTCTGCTTTGGCTTCTCTCAGCTCTTGGCTTGAACTACAATCTCCAACTTCTGTTTTTGGGCTACTTCTGTTCCCATCACCTGTCAACTATGCCAACCCTCACCCAGGAAGCAGAATTACGATAACAACTCCTGAGAGCTAGTGATCTGCCCTTGGGGTCCATCAAAGGCAGCCTTGTGGCTCCCATCAGTGACCATCGGCTCTCTGCCCACACCCGGCTCCTTCTGACAGCTCCTGTGTATTTAATGAGTGCTGCCCTGAAGCCTCCAAGCTTTTTAGAAACTGGCCAGAAGCAGGCAGCATTGATTGTGATGTACCACGATGGAGACTGAGCCTGGCTTCCTAGGCTCAAAGCTCTGCTTAGCTATTAACTGTGGGCAAATGACGTAATTCTTCTAAGCCTCAGTTTCCACATCCATAAAATAGGAGTGATTATCACATCTATTGGGAAGTTATGAGGATTGAAAAATGACTTAAAAAGAAGAACCAAGTTATACCATGCACAGGTACAAATCCCTTAAAATGAAAGTAGTCATTATGTATGCCTAAAATGTACCAATACATTTAATTAATAAAAAATAAAATAAAATAAAATTCAGCAGCATGTGGTGGTGCATGCCTGTAATCCTAGCACTTGGGGGACTGAGGCAAGAGGACTATTATGAGTTCAAGGCCAGGCTAAACTACATAGCGAGACTCTATCTCAAAACATAAAACAAAACAATAAAAATGAAAAAAATAAAATCAAATTCAAAGATGAAAAGACATAATTTGAAGCATTCAGCAGAGAGCCCAGCCTACAAAAACCTACTAATATTTTGTTTTAAAAAACTTCTTTAGCTTGTTTCAAGGTTAGTGGCTTCACTGTTAGGATGAATTCACAAAACTCTTGAGAAACAGAAATAAGGATACTTTACCAACCCTGCCCCAAAGCCTCGTATTTGGAAGGTGACTGGGTTATCAGGCTCACAGCTGAATGCTACTAGGAGGCGGGGCCTGATGGGAAGAGGCTGTGGGTGTGACCCGGGAGGGCGTGGCCCAGAGAAGGCATGGCCCTGGAGGCTTTATCTGCCTCTCTGACTCTCCTTTCTCCCTCTGCTTCCTGTCTGCCATGCAGCGAGCAGCTCTCCTCCTCCGTACCCCTGGGCCACACTGTTTCTGCTTTGGAGTCTGCCAGCCTTGCACTGAAACTGAACCAAAATAAAACCTCTCTTCCTTGAAGTTGTAGGTGCCAGGTATTGTGTGCCAGAGACAAGAAAGTGACTAAGACACTAATATACAACAAAATTGCAACTTAAGAATTCCTATTCAAAAACTTCTGAACTTCATCAATGATGGGCATGCAGGGAAACAGGGAAATGATGCAGGACACTGTGCTTTGTTTTTTGTTGTGCAGCTTTGACTCCCACAGAAGGGGAGCTATGCCGAACACAAGTTTACTTTATTTGGCTGTGGCTCTGTAGGCTGGGGAGGCCAAGCAAGGGACTGGGTCCCAACATAGAAGGGGCATCACATGGAGGACAGGTCACACAGAGACAGAGCGACGATGCTAGTCGGGTCTCTCTTCCTTGCTCTCTACTCCTGATCTCAGCTAACCCTAATTAATTCCTAAAAGTCCATCTCTGGATATCACTAATGCTTAGATTTGAGGATTCAGTCTGGTAGTACATGAACTCTTGAGGGACACAGGCCACAGCAGGTACTCAGGGAAACCAGCCAACTTGACTGACTGGGCTGCACCCCATTTTAGCACTTTGATTCCCACATCCTTTGTTGTGGACAAGCTGACCTGACCCCTTGAGTTCACAGCCCTGAGATACTTTTGTTTTTCTTTTGTACCAGGGATTGAACTTACGACCTTGCATTTGTCAAGCAGACACTTACACTGTTGTGCTAAATCCCTGGCCACGCTGAGATATTAAAAGTCTATTTTTGCATTTGCCATTGAGTGTTTGGGTTAAATGTAGGGCCGGGGATGTAGCTCAGTGTAGAGTCCTTGCCTAGCAAGTATGAAGTCCTGGGTTTGATGCCCAGCATTGCAAAAAAAACCCAAAAAACAAAAAACTGAACTCAGAGGTCACCAACCCAGGTCAATCCAACCTATCTGTTTATGCAGCCTGTATGTGACCTACATTTTTATGCCTTTTGAGCCAAAACGAGACCAGGGTGTCATCCATGGTGATAAAGTCCTTCACCACCTCCACAGCATTTCCACAAGGAGCCTTGGTTCGGGGCCCACGAAGCCTGGAGCGGTGTCCATGATTTAGGGGGATTTAGCACAAACCTCCACATGTGCTTTCAATCCTGTGCTTTCAATACTTGAGCTAGTATTATGCTCACACTCATAATACTAGCTACATCTGTCAACAAAAAGTATAGCTTATCCTCAAAGTAAATCTCTCCCCTTGCTTCCTGCGAGTCGTGGCATCAGTTCTGGTAGGCAGGCACAGCATGGAAAGGAGGGAAGATCACCCATGAGGGACACTGTCCCAAGACCGAAGACAGCCTTGCATGGGCATGGGGGTGAAGGAGACGACAGACTTTTCAGTACAGGGCTTGAACCCAGGGTCTCCTGCATGCCAGGCAAGCATTCTACCAATTGAGCTCTGACCCCCTCTTTGTTTTGGAAATGTGGTTTCACTAATTCTCCAGGGCTGACCTCGAAGTTGTGATCTTCTTGCCTTGACCTCCCGAGTAGCTAGAATTACAGGCCTGTGCTACACGCCTTGCTGATGTGACCTTTAAGGTCAGTCTCCCTCTAACGCCTTGCTCCCTCTGACAACGGAGACAAATGAACTATTCCAAGGACCCAGAAGGGCCTTATCAGACCAGACTGATCCTAGACATTCTAGAACACGGCCCTCCAGTTCTGAAGAGAGGGTCCTACCTAATACTTTAATCTTCTTCACTGTCTTCTCTGTGTTATTGGTCACAGTCACAGTGACAGGGATTGGTTCCCCATGGAAAAATACCTGAAAAAGCAAGAAAGAAGTCAGCAAAGGAGGATAGTGTCGCTGCAGCTTTAGCTTCAGGACTAGCCGTTGGTCAACACTAGGCTTCCGCTGTTGCTGCGCAGCTGGGGAGCACGTACCTCTTTGCTGAGGGAGACAGCGAGGTTCAGGGGCTTGTCTGACATGAAGAACTGCCAGGAGGCCTCGGCGCAGGGCTGCGGGCCCATCTCGGGTGGCGCATGCTGCACCTTCCGGATCAGAAGCCGCACAGAGCTCCTGTGGGGGAGGTCCCGCTGGAACCCTCGCCATGCTGAAGGGACCCCAGAGGACTGGGAGGGGGTATCCTGGAGGACCTGGGCTCTGGCTCACCCACCAGTGCCCATGCTGGGTGGATGTTGGGGCGTGGTGCCCCCCCCAGGGTCTCTTTCACCCTGTCAGGTGACCACTCAGCCTCCTTGGTGAGGCATGGACACACGGTGCAGATGCCTTCTGTGACAGGCTTCAGAGTTCCATGTAAAGGTGACACGTGACTGTTCACACTCAGACATGAACGCTGAGTATGTGGAGGGATGGGAAGGACTGGGCGAGGGGGATCTAGTTTGGGCATGTAAAGAAGAGTGAGGGCTAGATGTGGTGGTGCACACCTGGAATCCCAGTACTCAGGAGGCTGAGGCAGGAAGATCTCTATGAGTACCAGTACCAGGCCAGCCTGGACTACATAGCCAGACGTTGTCTCAAAAAACCAAAAACCACACACACACACACACACAGACAAAGTGAGCATGGGGAATTGCTCAGAGCAGAGGGCTTCTACTTACTGGGTAATGTATGGGGTGAAGGAAGAATTTTGAGGATTGATGTCATTCTGTTTGCACAACACTGAATGTGCTTGAGGTTACGAGTTGTATGATTAAAGTGGTAAACTTTAGAAGGAGACGTAAAAAGATGGTGGTGTGCAACATACGTGTATGAACTCCCCACAGGGAATGGAATCCTCATGTACTATATGCAAGTACTGACAAAAATGGAAATTTTTTTAAAACCGAGAAATTAAAGAAAAAAAGAGAAGTTGGGCATGGGCATGCGTGCCTGGAATCTCAGCACTCTGGGAGGCTGAGACAGGAGGATCCTAAATTCAAGCTTGGCTTTACCAACACAATGACCTAGCTGTCTTACAATTTAAAATAAAATAAACAGTCGGGAGGTGTACTGAGCACAAAGGCCCCAAGTTCAACATCCTGTGCTGCCCAAAAGAGGAACAGAAGGGATCCAGGCACCTTTAGGGGCTCCGTCCTTTTCCACCTCTTTTTCCTCAGTGAGCCATGGCTGGCCCCCACCCCGAGGGAGACCTCCTCCCCCACATCCACCGCCAGCCCATCCTTGGGTCCCCCCTCCACCCTCTTACTTCTTGGGGATTTTGTCCTCCTCCACATCAGGGTTGTCCACTGCGAATGCTTTGACCTCGAAGTCGACCCCACAGCTCTGTTGGAGCAGGAAGCCAGAGCACTCAGCTGGCTCCCCAGGAGAGGCACCTGCCTGGAGCTCAGTTGGAAGGCATGGGGAAAAACCAGGGAGAGAGGGTCCTGGGGCTGCAGGAGGGCAGGTGTGGGGTCGGAGGGATGTTTGTTTGGCTTGGTTTTTTGAGACAGGATCTCACTGCGTAGACCAGGCCAGACTCCAACTCACATAAACCCCCAGAGTGCTGGGATCTCAGCGCCTTGTCCTTTTTTTTTTGAATTTTTGTCTTTTTGGGACAGGGTCTCACTATGCAATTTAGCTGGCCTTGAGCTCACTATGTATCCCAGGCTGGTCTCGAATTCACAGCAATCCTCCTGCATCAGCCTCTTGAGTGCTGGGATTACAGGCATGCACCATCACAACCCAGCACTTGTCCTTCTTAAACTGAACCCTGTAGGGGCTTCCCTCTTCCTCTGGCTACTGTGCAGGGTGTGGGGACTTGAGGCTGACAGACCCAGGCGCCATGAGGGAGGTGGCCTATGAAGGTTGAGTGGGGCTAGGACCTCCAACCCCAAAGCCAAGCATGGCCAGGGTAACAGCACCCAGTACCCGTAGCTCACCCAACAGGTAGGAAAAACTAGAAATGGGATTTGGGGCGAAACCTCATTGGTAATCACCCTTACAGCATCCACGGATTAAGCAAGTCTGTCAGGCAGCTGAAGCCTGGGTGTCACTTCCTGCCCCCTATGCCCCTGTCCACTGGGCTGGCTCTACACCGTCACCACCACCCCGGGCCAGTCAATACAGCCATAAAGGCACAGGGCCAATGTCCCTGGTAACACATGACCCAGTGACTCCAGGTTCTACAGTGGGACTCACAATTTACGGCAACTCTAAAGTCCAGTGGAAAATAAACAAATTTTCCATAATAGGAATCTACTTTTAAAAGTCCATTGAAGCCATGCATGGTGGTGCACACCTGTAATTCCAGCACATAGGAGGCTGAGGCAAGAGGATCGCCATGTGTTCTAGCCCAGGCTGGGCTACTTAGCAAGACGCTGTCTCAAAAACAAATGAACAAACAAACAAAGGCCACTGAAAGAACACAGAACAAAAGCATCTGTGGTGTTTCTTCTTTACCCACCTTTCCGGTATCTTGCGGAGCCGGCTGCAGCATCACGGAGCAGGGCAGGTAGTCAGGAAACTGCAGAAAAACACAGAGAGAAAAGGGTTCTCTCAGAGGGAGTCAGTGTGTCACTATCAGACAGGATGGGAAAAGCTGAATAAGGGCAGGAGGCAACTGAGTGGCCTGTACCGTGGATGCCCAGAGGAGTGGGTCCTCCTCTGGCTCGAGTTTCCATGTGTTACAGATGCACAGATGAGCGTGCACACAGGTGCCTGTGTCATGGAAATGTGGCCAAGGATGAATGTGTCCTCTTCAGAAACCCAACCTGATTTAGAAAGGGTGTAACTTTTTTTTTTTTTTGAGACAGGCTGCCTTGAACTCATGGCAAATCTCCTGCCTCAGCCTCCTGAGTGCTGGGATGACAGGTGTGAGCTACTATACTGGGTCCTGTTATTTTACATCATGAAAGTTCTGTGCTATCACTTTTAGGGCTTTGATAACACAGAGTGTAGCTGGCCCCTTTTCCTTTTGTGGCCTTGATTTTCTTGCTATTATAGACAATGCTACAACAAAAAATCCTTCTTTAAGGGCTGGGATTTAGTTCAGCGGTAGAAGCACCTGCCTGGCAATCACAAGGTCGTGAGTTCGATCCCCGGAACTAAAATAAAATTCTTCTTTATTTTTTCACATTCTGATACATGTTTATGTGTTCTCACTTTAAACTGCCAGCAAAAGCACATGGCAGTGCTCAGGAGCAAGAATATTTTTTTAAAAATTCATGAAACAATCGTGAAATAGAATAACATAGTACTTATCATGTTCTCTCTCTCCAGTCAGGGTACAGTTCATCGGTATTAAACAGTGATCACCACCATCTACCTCCAGAAGGTTTTCATGGCCCCACACAGAGCTACAGCCACTAAACCTCAATCTCCTTGGTGTGGTTCTGCAGGCCCACAATCCTGGCACTTGGGAGGCTGAGGCAGGAAAATCACTATGAGTTTGAGGCCAGCCTGGACTACATAGTGAGTTCCAAACTATGCAGTGAGTCTCAAAAAGGAGGAGGAGGGCATGGAGGAGAAGAATGTGTGGTAGGGGCGTGGAGACACCCATGACTTCAGGAGCCTGTGACATCAGGTGCCAATGACGTCAGGCTTCCCACGTGATGTTGGAGCGCTTTATGGGGGCACCCTGACAGTCAGGTCTCCTGGCTGAGAGGTGCGGTTGGAGAGCACAGGGATGGAGTGAAGGAGACCCACTGAGGCGTGGGTGAGGCTGAATGAGGCTGCCTTGCCAAGAACTCCAGGGGTCATGAGGGCGGGGATCACTTCTGCCGGTTCTTTTTATAGCTGGGCCAGCAGCACATGCTCATCTAATTAGGCAGTCCGGGGAAGGAAACCATCTAAACAGCAGCTGGGAATGATGCCTCTGCAGGCAGACGCTATTTTCAAGGCCTTAAAAAAAAGACAATCACAGAGCCAGCCGTCCAGAGTCTCCCACAAGGGTGCAATTTGCAGGCCACTGGATGCCGCGGCCTTCCTCTCCCCTGGCCCCGCCTGGCCGCTCACCGTGAGCAGAAAAGGGTACGTGTTGCCCCCCAGCTTCTTCAGCAGGCTCTCCTGCAGCTTCGTGGGCGCGCTTGCGGCCCCCGCAGGCGGATACACCTGGGTGCGCGTGAAGTACAGGTCCCGGCGGAAGCTCAGCCCCATCACGTCAATGTCCTCCTGGCCATAGCGGAAGGCGCAGGTCAGCGTAACGAACACTGGGGACAACAGGGGACAAGGTCAGCCTGGTGCCCACGGTGTCACCCCAAAGTCCAGACTTCCGTGTCTGGAAGGGCTGGGATCAGATAGCACTGTGCAGGGGGATTTTAAAAATAACACACTGAATGTCTAAATAAAAAGGGATTTAAACTGCATTTCAGTAAAAACTCGTTGCTTGCTGTGAATTCCCCACCAAATTCCTCTTCCAACACGCTGTCTTTTTGAGACAGGGTCTCGATATGCAGTTCAGGCTGGCCTTGAGCTCACTTTGTAGCCTAGGTTGGTCTTGAACTGGCATGTATCCTCCTGCCTCAGCCTTCTGAGTGCTGGGATTACAGGCATGCACTACCACACCTTGCTACTAATTTTTTAAAACTCAGACATTAATCATAGTTTTTATTATGTTGCACATGAGGCCCACACATGTTGGAGCCCTCAGCCCTCAGCTCAGGGTTCCAATTCATTACCCTACTGAGAAGTGTCACAGGCACCTCCCTTGTGACTACTTTATGTGGCCGGGATGGTAGGACTCTGGGGACAGACAGCACAGTACCGCCCACCTACTCCCTCTATCTGCCAGCTCAAGGAAGCTGAGAAATGGTGCTGGCTTGCTTGGCTTCTGGGGGAGGAATCCTAGATGAAGTTAAGGGTTAAGGTATGAGCAGGAGCACGGACGTAGGGGCACACACCTGTCATCCCAGCCCTCGGGAAGCTGAAGCAGGAGGATGATCAAGAGTTTGAGGCCAGCCTGGGCTACATAGTGAGCTCAAGACCAGGCTACACTGTATCGAGACCCTGTCTCAAATACTAACAACAATAATAATAGATACAGTACTTGACAAAAAATGGAAAATGTTCCAGATGTCTGCTGGAACCAGACGGGCTGAGGGAAGACCCAGAGAGTGAGTGGAGAGACGAAATCAAACCCCAGTCTCTCTTTCCACTCCCTCGGTGCATGGCTCTGGAATCTTCTAAGCACTATGTCACCGCTTGTGGAAGCGCCGAGTGACTGCTGACCCAGCAGACCAGCAGATCTGTGTGCAGGTCTGTGATGCCCTTTGGGGTGGAAACACAGAGCCCGCGTCCCTCAGCGCAGCTCCGAGGGCCGGCCACAGCCTCTGCACATCTTGCTTATGAAGCCTGTCTTTTGTTGCATAGCACCCTCTGTTTATACGGCACTGTAATGTGCTGTTTGCACTGCACAGCACAGTGCTGTAGTTTACCTGGTTGTACGTTACAGTATTGCATGTAAAAGGAATACAAATAAAACCAGGTGTGGTGGTGCAAGGCTGGCATCCCAGCACTCAGGAAACCAAGGTGGGAGGATTGCTGTGAGTTTCAGTGAGCACAAGGCCAGCGAGCTACACAGCGAGACCCTGTCTCAAAAAAAAAAGTTACACAAATAAAAGCAAAGTCATTGAACTGGAGTTTCCTTTGACCGCTTCTTTGTTCTGAATATTGTAACGTACAGACTGCATACAGTTCCTCGTTGAGCAGCCAACTCACTGAACAGCCTCATTGCAGGAGCATAACTGGGCCGTTAGTGTGTGCATCCGGAGAGGCCCCAGGTCAGCCCGTTCTCAGAGGCATACCTTGAATCCATTCAATTCACCTTATACAGTTGTCACTAGTAATAAGTGATGTGCCACACACCAGTGCCAGAGATTGCAGGGCACCGTGACACAGGGGCTCAGAACCAAGGGCAAGGGGTTGGGGTGCGGGGCATGTAGGGTGGACACCGACTCACCTTTCTTTCCTTTCACGAGCTCCGGGTCCACGAGTACAACTCCATCTATGCCAGAGGGAGAGAGAGTGAGAGCGACGTCAAAGGAACCAGAAGCCTTCTGGAAAATTAATCCAGTGCTTTTCCTCTGCTTTCCTTTTCTGGGGTACTGGGGATTGAACCCATGCCTGCTGGGCACCGCTGTGGCCCTGAGCTACATCCCTGGCCCTTTTAAAACACTGTTTTGACTGAGCTCAAAGTGAGTTCAAGGGCAGCCTGAAGTACATAGCAAAACTCTGCTCAAAAAGACAAAAATAAAATAATTTTTATTAGCCAGGTATGGGCAATCTTTTTGTTAATTGCTTATTTGTCCTCTATGTCTCCAGTCTAGGAACTATCTCTTCCTGTCTTTTGCTAATTTTCACAACTGGATTTTGCCTCTTTGTTTACTGTTGGGCCCTGAGAATTTTTCATATATTCTAAAAATTACTCTTTTGTCTGGTTCTCTTTAAAATTATTTCCAGTCAGCCGGTGGCACCTCGCTGGTATTTTAATTTACATTTCTTTAATTAGATTCCTAGTGAGGCTGATTTTTATTTTTAAGTGCAAAACTAGCAGCTGCCTGACATAAAGGAAAACTGGAATTAAAATTTTCCTCCAGGCTCACTGTGGTGACGCATGCCTGTCATCTCAGCATTCAGGAGGCTGAGGCAGAAGGACTGTATGAGGTCAAGGCCAGCCTGGGCTACACAGTGAGTTTAAGACCAGTCTGAACTACATAGTGAGACCCTGTTTCAAAACAAAATTAAAAACACCATAAATAAAACTTTACTCCAAACTTTACTTACCCACAGGCTCTACCTTGCTGATATGATCGATATAGTCTCTCTTCCCCAGGTAGATGGTCACCTACAGGAAGAACAAGGCAGCATCCTAAATGCCCAAAGGCCACTCAGTTAAGACATCCACATTAAAAAGTGACAACTCCCAAGCTGGGTACGGTGTGGATGCCTGTAATCCTAGCACTTAGGAGGCTGAGGCAGGAGGATTGCCATGAATTCAAGGTCACCCTACATAATGAGTTCAAGACCAGCCTGGACTACATAGCGGGACCCTGTCTCAAAATAAACAAAAAAAAAAAAAAAAAAAAAAAACAAAAAACAAGCTGGGCATGGTGACACAGGCCTGATATCCAGCACTTGGGAGGCTGAGGCTGGAGGATCACAGCAAATTCTAGGTCAGCCTGAGCTCCATGAGTTCAAGCCTGCCTATCTTAAAAATTTAAAAAAAAGTAAAATAAAATATAAAAAACAACCACCACCATCTCTTTTCATGGTTTTTACTTATTTTTTCTGTGCTTGCCAGCAAGCGCCTGCCACTCAGCTGCAGCCCAGCACTTTCCATGGGTGGTGAAAGCTGCAGGGGACTTCCGGTTTCAGGTGAGCAACCTCTGTCCTCAGCCCTGTGTGTGCCCCACGGACGCCTCCCACACTGCAAGGTCCCCTTCTTTCTCTATCAAGCTTAGGTCTGACTTCAGCCAGGTCATGTGCTCACCTCTCTGCTGGCTGGAGGAAAGTTATGCTTAAGTAGGTGGATTGCCACTGCCCATTTGCACATGCGATGATGATGATTATTATTATTGGTACTGGGTATTGAATCCTGCCGGGTCTTTACACCGAGCTACAGCCCCAGCCCTGTTTTATTTTTTACTTTGAGACAGGGTCTCACTAAGTCTCTGTGTTGCCCAGGCTGGGCTTGAACTTGTGATCCTTCTGCCTCAGCCTCCCAATGGGCTGAGATTCAAGCAGGCGCCACCACAACCAGCATGATAAGGCTCTTCTTTCCAGCCATAGATGCGGAGCTCCCCAATCCTTGTAAGAATTGCCAGACTAAGCAAAGAGGTCGGAGTCTACCGGAGCGCCTGGAACCCCAGCTCATGCGCTGCCCGGGTTGACCAGAAGGAGGTGACAGAGCCGCGTGGGCGAGGACAGCCACGATCTTGCCCATTCACAAGGTCGCTTTCTGGGTCCTGCAGGACAGAACGGCTGCTCCCGCTGGGGCCCGCGTGGGGCGAACCCAGAGTCCTGCGTGCGTCTCGCGGCCCCAGGCGTCACCTCGCTAAGGCACGGAGACACAGGGAGGGTGGTGGTGGCGCGCGCAGCCCCGCTGGCCCCTCTTGTTCTGTTCGCTCCTCCTCCGCCAGGCAGCACAGAGTGTCCTGCGTCTACTAAGTCATTTGCATGGCTCATGCGCCTTAGTGGCCTGGGCGCGCCAGGGGCTGATGTCCGGGACACGCACCACCGGGAAGCCCTGGCCCGCGTCCTCCTAAGCACCGCGGACGTCTCTACTGCTCACTCAGACCCGCGCTAGGACCTGGCACCCTGCCGGCTGCATCGCCCCAAGGCTTCCCCAGCCTTGCGGCTTCAGATGAGCCAGCGGAGGAGAAGCAGGCGGGGAAGCAGGTGTCTCTCCCCTGCCTTACTGCTCTCCACTCCTTACCCCTGCAGCCCAGGGAGGTGCCCCCAATCCCATGTGATCGCTGGAGCTCTTTCTAGTGACCTCTTCCACTGGCCAGGCTTAAGCAAACACTTCTTCCCTGCAGGGACCCCTGCACATTGCTACCTGTGGATGGGGCCTGGGGCTGCTCAGTCCCTGTGGGATGATGTCAGAGGCCTTGCATGAGCCCGAGCAGGTCCCTCACCCTGAAGCCCCAGACCCCCCAGAGCTCCCTTTCGCCTGCCCTGCCCTACCCTGGGCCCTGGATACAGCAGCCAAGCAGCGATGTCCCAGGCACCTCTGCTTCTGCAGCAGGCAAGACCCTTCAGCCTCATTTGCACCTGGTGACACCATATGACACCCCGTCCACATTTCCGGGCACACCTTAGCCTCCATGCTCCTGCGCTGCCCACTCTGGCCTTTAGGTACTTCAGGGGCACCATGCCCTTTTGACTGTAACACTTCATTGCCTCATCCCAGCTGTGCGAGACAAGAATTAACCCTGTGTTATAAAGAATCCTAGACATAGATCATGTTAGCAGCAAGTGGAGGCTGGTTGAGCAAGAGGAAGCCAGGCAGGCAGCCTCTTTGTGGTGAGGCAGTAGGGCTGGAGGGAAAGTGGGACGGAAGAAGGGAGGGATGGAAGGGAGTGTTTCCTTCTCTTTAAAGCTTTGGGTGTGAGGGGCCCCCAAACAAGTGGCAGGTCACAGATCAAGGCAATAAGTAGCAGTGACCTTGGAGCCAGGGCCCACCCCTCTGCCAAACTCAATGAAGGGGAAGGGTGGGGGCGGGTGGAGAAGATGGTGATAACACCTCAGGCTGCTAGTGCCCAGTGCAGCAGCTCCTCTGTAACCTTTGCCAGTCGTGTTCAGAGTCCATACCGCCCTCAGGCTGTGTGCCAAGAGGACTCAGCCCTGGGCACGAATCGATTCCTGACTGGTGTAGGGCGGGCAGTTTACCTGGTTTCAACCAATGAAGGGAAAAGTTGGAAGTCAGCCAGGGCTTCGGGAAAGATTCCCAGCCCCTCAGGGGACCAGGAATCCACACTCTGGGTACCACCAGGGATGGTCTTTAGATGGAAGACCAGGACATCATAGAAGAGAGCAGGGTACAGGGCATTGCTGAGAAAGGACCCCGAGTACACCGTGTGCTGCTGACTGATCATCACCCTTGAGCCAGGAGCTGATGACCCCCACAGTGACCAGTAGAGAGAAAACTGGGTTTAAAGATGGCTAAACCAGGCATGGTGGTGTGTGGTTGTAATCCCAGAACTTGGGAGGTTGAGGCAGGAAGATCACCATGAGTTTGAAGCCAGCCGAGGTTACATAGGGAGACCCTATCTCAAAACACACACAAACAAAAAGAATAATAATAATAATAAAAGGAAAGCAGGTTCCTTTCTGCTATGACAACTACTTTTCTGCTAGAAGTTGAGCTAAAAATGAGGGCAGGAGAGACTCGAGTAGGGAAAGAGCAGAAGGAACAGGAGGGCACCCAAACAATTGCCCCAAAGAATCAGAACTTCTGATGAGAATGAGAAGTTGCCCAGCCAAGAAGGAAAGGGCAGCGAGGCACGGTAAGGACTGTAGGGCTCCTGTCACACCAGCGTGGGCTCAGCTGCCAGCCAGTGGAACAAACCAGAGCTGCACTGCCCAACTCAGTGGCCACCAGACAAAGGTGGTCTTGGCCATCGGAGGGGACTCGTGCTCTGAAGGCAAAGCACACGGCACATTTCAACAACTTAGCCAAAGAAGCAAGCCATGCTGGGAATTTCTGTATTGTTCACATATTGAAAGGATAGCTTGTTTGTCTGTAATCCCAGTACTCAGGAGGCTGGGGCATGAGGATTGCTGTGAGTTCCAGCCCAGCCTGGGCTACAAAGTAAGTTCTAAGCCAGCTTGGACTACACAGCAGAACCTTGTTTCAAAAAGAAAAAAATAAAAGGAATGACAGTTTTTTGGACACACTGGATTAAATGAAAGGTATTATTCAGATGCATTCCCCTTGCTTCCTCCTGCCTTTTTAATGTACTTTTAAAGTTTGAAGTGGTGTCTATTTCTTGCATGGGATGTGGCAAGCTAGACTCAAGGCCCTGAAGCGGCCTTCCAGAGGGGCAGGGAGACCTGGCCCGCAGAGATGGGTGCCCGGCCCCACCAGCCATGCAGCATACAGACACACAATGGGTCCAGCAGGTCCGGTCACTCACAGTGAGTCTCGAGTGAGATGACCGGTGGGAGAATCAGCCTGTAGGAGCAGCAGCAGCCTAGAAGCAGCGGACAGTGATGGGGGAGAAACACAAATGACACAACAGGAGGCAGTTGAAGTTCTTCTTTGTTGTTGTTTTTTATGACACATGGTCTTGCTTTGTGGTTATTCCTTGAACTCATTACACAGCCCAGGCTGGCCTTGAACTTGCAGGTGATCCTCCTGCCTCAGCCTCCTAAATGCTGGCATTATAGATGTGTACCACCTTGCCCGGCTAGCCAAAGTTCTTGCCCTACCAGAAACACCCAAAGAATGTTTCTTGATAAAACCAAAGAAAGCAAGAGAAGATGTGCCAAAAAAAAAAAAAGAAAAGGACAGAAATATTGATGTTCTTGCAAAATCAAAGCCCAAAACAGGGCCAGCTGAAGACCTAGAGAAGCTGATGAATGACTATTAGAGCAGCAATCACTCAGTGATGGAATTAGAAGGACCGAATCTCCCAGACTTCTCTTTACTCCAGGCAAATGATCTGACTCAGGTTTTCATCATGCCTAAAAGAAATTTGTCCTAAGTGGTAAAATTTCAGAAGAACCACAGTGAGAAGAAATCAGTCCTGATGCCGACCATCTGTGGCTCTATGATCCAGGCTCTAGAGCTCACTGGGTGGAAGATGGCCTCCAGAGGGGACAGCAAAGCTAGGACATTGTTTGCAAAACCCATAAAGGTCAGGAGCAATTACAGTTGCTGGAGAAGTGTGTGGGACCTGGCAGTAGGAACTCCAGGGAGACCTGAGCGCTCGTTAAACAAGGTGACCTTAACTTGAGGCCCTTAATGTTTCTGATCCCCACCCAACCTTTGCTTTTTTTGAGACAGAGTCTCACTACGCAGTTCAGGCTGGCCTTGACCCACTGTGTAGCCCAGGTTGGCCTTGAACTTGTCACAATCCTCCTGCCTCAGCTTCCCAACTGAGGTCACAGGCAGTTTCTGGTTCTTGACCAGAAATGGAGAGATCAGACGTTGAGAAGAATGATGGACATTCCTGAGATAAGAAAGGTGTTTGAATTTCGAGAATTGAAACTACTCAGCCTATGCAAGTCAGATCCCTGAAGCTGGGTTTTTTCTAACTCCAGATCCCGGTGAAGATTTCAGTTTTTACAATGGAATTTGCATCCTATTTAATGACTCTGTGGGGCAGCACACACTCAGTGAATCAGCCTTATTTTGTTACGTTAATTACATCACCAGATGGGAATGTTTGCTGGGGGTCTTTGAAAGACAGCAATCTGTCTTTTTGTCTGTTTCCTTGTTTAATAAGAATCACCAGTGTGTGTGCGTGTGCGTGGGTACCATCGGCAGTCCCAATGGGCATCATTCTTGCTAAATATGCCTACTGCAAAGTTTCTAACAATTCTAAGCCACAGTGCAGAACTGTGGGACAGAAGCAAACTGTCCTGAACCCCAGCCAAGGAGTGACACATGGTGCTGGGTAGATGTGGAGACGGGAAAGCATCACATTGGTACCACATCCGGGCTTTTCCCAGGCAGGGACCATAACAGACTAAGGGCCAAGCAGGTCCCGGGTGTTGACAAAACTGGGTCCGATACTGCAGTTTATGGGTTCAAGGCTAGGAAACAAGGTGAAGTTGAGGAGAGGATGTGGGCTCAGAGAGATGAGGAGAAGATTGAGGGCCGAGGCACTCAGGTCTCCTTGGGTGGAAGAGCAGCTCTGTTTCTGCCTTGTTTATCTTACAGCCCAGAAGAAGATGGAGAATGGACACAGATTCCCAGCATCTCATAGAGTTTGCTATGGATCTTGTCTATACTCGAAAAGGTCCCATTTATTATTATTTTTTCCATTTATTAATATTTTTACGATAGATTCCACCAAGTCACTACTTCTGTACTACTTACCGATTTGTCCCTGGAGACTTTCTTGAAGATGACGTGTGACTTGTTGGACTTTGTGCTGGCTGCCATGTTGCCTGTCCTGGGCAAGTTCTTCCCCTCTGGAATGTATGTCAGGGATCAAAGGGCTGGGAAGAGGTACACAGTCCTAAACATAAAGACGAGAACATTCAGGTACAACACCTGCTCGTGTCATGCGGGGCACGCATTGGACCTTTCCTTCATGCACATTTGAAAAAATAAGGTCTATGGTCCATTTGCACGTCACTGTGCTGTGTATTCTTTAAGTGTTTTAGTTTTCGTGTTAAGTTTCCACCATCTCTTAGCGAACCTCACCAGGAAGTCCAGTGACAACCCAATGAGAAGGTTTGCTACTCTGGGTAACCTTTGGTGTCATCGCACTTGGGTAGAAACCAAATTCTATTATGAGCAGGTGTCATGGCGAATAAATCAGAAAAAAGTCCTGAAGCCCATGCTGTAACCACTTCACAGTTTTCCAGAACCATGAGCATCTCCCAAGCACGATCCCACAGACCCTACTAAGTCAAGCTGTCTTTTCCTACACTTCCGTTCCCTCTACTTAGTTTCATGGACAATTAAGGGGCACCTTAGTGATCTCAAAGGAGAAGCTCTTGAAAGCACACAGAAGGAGAAACCAGGGTAGTCTGACCCCATGACAGCTTTCCCCACTCCTGCCCTGGCTTTCTGAGAAAGTTTGGGTCAAAGTGGTCACATACCTTGTAAATTGTCACCAACCAGACAGGATGCCAGGAGAGTCCTTGACCCCACAGAGGCACGAGCGAGGGCCCCAGCTGAGGGACGTGGGTGGGGAATTTGTAGGGGATCTGCAGAGCACAAGTCCAGGACTCAGAGTCTAGAGGCCAAATCCCATTTACTGAGCAGCGTGGAATTTGGATTAGCTCAGAGAGCGTGGACTGGCGGTTTCAGCAGTTCTCGGCATTAGGCGAGGACCCGGCAGACACTTAGTAAGGTGCTGGGGAGGAGTGACAGGGAATGAAAGCTCCTTGTGTCCTAAGCCTCTTTGGCTTCTGGAAATAGACTGCTTATCCCTCTGCTCCTCAGCATTGGCAAGATGGGATTTGCCAGTGCAAGGGCAACCTTGATTAAACTCAGGGGATGTTATATAAACAAAAAGGCCAAGGAGAAACAGTGACCTCAAACCCCAGCGTCACACAAGCCAAGCTGGGCCTGCCTTCCCGTCTACCGTGTCCTGTGGGTTTTGTCGGGGTCCTCTGCTGTTCCAAGGCAGCTCTCTGCTATGTCCTTCTAGCCGCAGGGCCACCTCTCGAGCCCATGCTGACTCCTGGGCTTCTCCAGACCCGAAGAACTCTCCCCACCTGATGACACCCATCCTCACCATCCAGGTCCTTCTCGGTGTGCAGCAGGGAGACCTTCGAAGTCGCTGCCTGTCACCCTTTGAGCAGGATTTCCCACTGCTCGCAGGCCATAGGCGAGCTCCCTGGAGCGTGTGCGAGCTCCTTGGCTGTACCCCAACTATCCCCTCTCTCTACTTTATATCCTTTTTGGTCCTCCCGGCCAAGGGTCCTGTTTTTTTGAGACAAGGTCTTGCTGTTAGGCCCCATGCTCCTCCTGCCTCCACCTCCCACCTTCCCTGGAACACAAGTATACACCGCTGTGAGTGTCTGATGTGCTGACAAAGGGGGCTCCAAAAGACTGCAGAGGCCACCCCTCCTTGGGCTGGCCACCTCCGAGAGACAGTGAGGAGCCATCTTCCTGCGATGCCCCAACTCTCTTTATCTGGCTAACACACTCCAGGCCGCATCTGCTCCAGCCCACCACAGCAGGGGCAGCATCAACACATGGAGACTGCCCTCACTACAGAGCTATGGAGCTGCCTCCGGCCCGCTTGCCCTCCCTCGCCTGTTCCTTCCTGCAGAACCACAAAAATACTCTTGCCATGTTTCTTCCTCACCCCCTCACCAACCCGAGACCTTCCCCATGTGGCTGTGTTGCATGGCATGTCCTTCCTGAGGAAACACAGATGACCAGCTGTCTTTGAAGGCCCATCCTCTCTCAATCCGTTGGCCTCTCCTGAGTAATGGGACATTTTAGGAGTAACACCAGAGTTATTCACTGGTGTTAAAGTCATCAGACGGTGAGGCAATGAGGTGGGGGTGGTGGTTGTCCCAATAGTGCCAGAGGGAAGCATACGAGTCACAGCTCCAATGTGAGCTGCCCTGCAGGCCCAGTCGGTGGTCAACCTGAATGACATCAGTGGTATTGGCTTGGAATGGAGCACTTGCCACCCCACATGTGTGATGTGCCCCAGGACTCACTGACATCCATGGAGCCTTTAGACATCATTTCTACTTACAGGAATACAGGGCATAGGGGAACACTACATATAACACCACACAGCTGCCAGGCCAATCCAGAAAGTCGCTGGTGTCTTGCATAAATCAATGCCATCAAAGAGGATGCACTAGATTAAAAGAGGACTCTGCATTCAGCTGTAACCTGTGGTCTCGGGCTGGATACTCAGAGGGACAAAAGATGTCTAGAGTACTGGGGACTTCTGTATATTCAAGATGAGAATCACTGGATGAGAAAGGTAAATTGACACATGTACAAGTCCACGGTAATCCCGTGCCCGAACATGAATTGCAAGGGTGTGCACCGTGTTTCCCGATGTGCTTTTGTTGCAGGAACATTCTTTTTGTCTGTCATTTTCACATTTTCTCCAATGATCACTTTGGTTCCCGTAACCGAAACATGAAAATAGAAGTTTGTATACCCTGAAGTCTCATTTCTCCGGTCAGAGTGCAAAGATAAAAGGAAGAGAGATGACCAGGGCTCTTCTTTAATCTCCCTAGCAGGAGCTGCCTCATCCGTGGCTGTAAACTGGGCTGTGTGTGCCAACGGTGCTCCTGGAGCCTTCATCTGCTATGTGACCTCCAGGCCGCTGGAGGGCGCAGTTGGGAGGACACTGAGTCACAACCTGAAAGGCTGAGCCTATTTCTTTACTTACTTTGGCACTGCTGGGAATCAAACCCAGGGCCTTGGGCATGCTAGGCAAGCACTCTTCTCTCACTCTTGGGAATATTATTCCCAATCCCTAACTTGGGATCCATTTTTTTCTTCTTGAGGAAGACATGAAAAAAATAAGAGGGCTCATGAGTGTTTTCTAAAAACCAAGTGCATCCAATATACAATGACTACCCCTCATTCTAAGACGAAGCTGTTCTTCCTCCATCTTCCCCAAGACAGACTGGAGCCATGCAACCCAGCCCTCTCAGGCGGTGCTCCCCAGTCACACTGCCCACTGTAGTCTCGACTGACCAAGCAGCCTAAGCCTTGGATGGCTCCTGGAGCAGTCTCTGCCAGCCTCCACACCAAGCCTGCAGCTGCTGACAAGTGCAGGCCTGCACTCCAGAATTTGTGAGATTTTAGAGCACAGGGGAAATTTGGAAGAAAATACATTGAACACCCAGGCACCCCTGAGGTCCCACAGTAACATTTTGCTGCCTGCCCTCATCTGTGCCCAACTCTGCCAGCTGGCTTTTCCTTTTTACCCATGTGAAAGCAGTGCAGACATCATTGTTTTACTCATAAATATGTCACATGCACATGTCCCTAGTCATAGGGATGAAAATGACCTTTCTTTTTGCAAAATAACGAAAATACATAGTCGTTGAGGAAAAAGTTAATTGGCAACTAAAACACAAAGTTGGCAAACTTTCCCTAGATCCTTTTTTTTTTAAGACAGGTTCTATGTGCTCCACACTGGTCTTGAACTATGTAGCCCAGGCTGGTCTCTAACTCACAATCCTCCTGCCTCAGCTTCCAGAGTGCTGGGATTATAGGGGTTTGCCACCATGCCCTTGGTTCATCTTATGAAGTTTACTGCTCTAAAAGTGTACACAGTCTGGAAAGCACGGGCCAAGGTGACACTTTTTTTCTCTGTAGCTGCCTGCAGCAAGACGAGGCTGTTTTCATCTCCAAACCCTTGGCTCCACGGCGGCTGCAGGATGGCAGTCAGTGGCTGGGGTGGGCTGGGGACTGGCCTGTCACCCTAGAGCTCACTAGGGCCGGTGGGTGCAAGGAGTGTGTCTGGACTCAGGCCATCTGGGTCGTGCAGGCTGGTCATATCTGAAGTGTGACTGCCATCGCATGTGTGCTGAGGGCATATTTAGATCTCCACAATGGCCCCAGTGGTTGCTGAGCGCTTCCAAGGAACAGGGATAACTGACTTCTGTACTTGCCTTCCTTAAACCAGTGCAGGAAAATCCTGTGGCGGCAGGAGCTCTGCCTTATCTCCCCACTGCTGTGAGTCCAATGTCCCTTCCATGCCTGGGTGTCCCACGACCAGCATGGCAGTGCTCACTGCAGGAGCACGGAAACCCCTCACCTCACCAGGTCTGATCTAGACAGACTCTAGTTTCCATCTGGAGGCATCACTCAAGGACACTTGGTGTTCAGGGTTCTGGGGACGGATAGGCCATAGGGAGCCCCAAGCTGCAGGCCCAGGCTCCGTGTCCCACCAGGGGGTGCACTGTGGCTGAGACCTGCATGGCCTCCCTGCCTTTCCTTTGCCCCATCGGTGCAGTCCATGGGTGCCCATGGCTGCCCTGTTGAATGGGCAGGAAGATTCAGTTACCCTCCAGGTGCTTGCCCCTAACCTGGCCAGTGACTTAGAGAAATGTTTTAAGTCTTCAAATTTCTAAGTAGTTTTTCTACAGCAAAACCCACTGGTCCCAAACTTAACCAATCATAAAAAACCTGCCCAAGCCAGCCAGGTGTGGTGGCATACGCAGTAATCCCAGCACTTGGGAGGCTGAGGCAGGAGGATCACTGCCAGATCAAGAACAGCCTGGGCTACAGCTCAAGGCCAGCCTAAAGGACATAGCGAGACCCTGTCTCTAAATAAATATTCGGGCATGCATGAAACAGGTAACCCTGGTTGAACTGTCAAGGGACGGGTGCTGCTGGCCAGCTGTGGGTTCCAAGGGCAGTGTGGCCACTGTCTGAGTGAGATTGGGAGCCACACCTGGAACAAACAGATCAACAGGTACAGTCAGAAACCGGACTTGTGATGAAAGCCAGGGCTACAAAGCCAGAGGATCAAACTTGCCCCAAGTGGGGCAGCTGAGAACCATTCTGGGGTTGTGCCATGGGGGTGGCGTGCACCCCAGGTACTCTTAATCCCCTCCCCCCCTTTTTTTTGAGACAGGGTCTCACCAAGTAGTTCAGGCTGGCCTCAAGCTCCAGTGATCTGCCTCAGCCTCTTAACCTGTGCAGTTGCAGATTTGTGATTTCTAACACCCTATGGCTTTTTCTTGTGGATCACAAGGTGACATAGTGTACCCAAGGGCTGGTGCAGCCTGTCCTACCAGCTGTGGTGACCCTGGGGGGCCCATAGCAGCAGGTGGTACTGAAGATGGGCTCAGGACTCAGGAGGACCCCTGGCCCTGCTGTGAACCTCCCCATTTCAGGAAACAGAACTAGGTGGTCATTTCATTCGGAGGTGCTGTGGCTTCCTGTCCAGCAAGTATCCCTGGTGGGAGCTGGCCTGTCACTGTGGCTCATCTGGGATCCCCAGGCTGGAAGCACAAGGCCAAGCTTCTGAAAGTCCCATTGGCAAACAACTGTGGCAGTGGCCATGAAGACACTCGGCCTGGCCCGGCCAACTTCTCTAGGGGACTGGAGAGCTCTGTCATCCCAGACTCTCTGCTGTCCTCTGAGAAAGACAGAAGAGGCGGCACTTTATGACACACGTGAGAAGACCTTGTGCGTGTTGGGAAGAGGCCTGGAACTTGGGTTCTCACACTGGATCAGGGGCCCAGGACATGCTCACACCTGGTCAGAGCAGAGCTGTGGGCCCAGTTCACAGGAACCCTGCCTGCTGTTGGGCTGAGCCCATGTCTCACTCCATGGTGGTGACTCTATGCCGCACACCAGGCACTGGGGAAACCGAGCAAACCGTTGGGGTGCAGGACCTCACAAATCCCAGGGTGAAGGCAGAGTCTCGTGGAGTGTCTGTCCCAGGCTCAGATGTGCACAGGACGCACAGCAGGAATGCGGATGCTCACAGACACTCACCTCTGCGACTGGTGACAGAGAAGCACGGGATGCAGCAACCACTGGGTACAGAGAACAAACAGCAGCGGATCCTACCCCCTTTTTCAAGAGTAAAGAATGAAACCACCACCAAGACGTGAGGAATTTGAAAAGCTTACAACACAATTTTTAAAAATTTATGATAGTTGTTTGGCAACATAAATAAATAATGGGGGGACCCCAGCCCGTGAGCTCCTGCCACTCCCAGCCTGGGGCCTCTGGACAGTGTCGAGAGTGGCCAGGAACAGGCGCAGTGTGGGAGGAAATAAAGTGCAAATTACGACAATGCGACAGAAGGGCATTTCAGGCCCCAGACACAGAGGCAAGGCCCTGCATACAGGCACTCGAGGAAGGTAACCGTGCTTGGCCTTCGTCACAGCCTTGGGAGGGGACAGGGACACAGGGCTGCCCCACACAGGGCTTCCTGCAATAGATACCAGGTGCAGCTGGCTCAGCCCCAGGGAGGTATATGCCAGGCCTGGGGCTCCTGTCACCAGCATGATGCAGTGTGTGCCCATCCCTGGCATCTGTGGTGACACTGCACCACACCTCACTGGAAAAGCTAGGCTGGTTGTGCCCTCTCCAATGTCCTGACCGAGCAGGGGATGTGCAGAAGCCCTGGGAAGGGGGCCTGAGGCTCAGAAGGCTCGTTGGGGACCTAAGGATGCTCAGCAGGAACGAGTCACTACAGCAGAGGAGGCTGCAGCCACCCAGAGGCCCCGCAGGAGTCCCTGCAGCCCAGCTAGGCCTGACTCTGGAAAGGGGGGCATGCAGGGTGAGCCTGGCCCTGCTCCCCAGTGAGGTATGGAGCCCAGAGCACTTGGTGTTTCTGCGCAGACGGCAGGGAGCACAGCAGGGACAGCAGGAGGCCACCGTGCTGCATGTGAGCTCTTCTCTGGAGGACACTTCACCACCAGGACAGGACCATGGGGGCCCCCAGGCTTCTCCTGAGTCATGGCTGTGCCCACAGCACGGCTTTGCTGCCTTTGTCCACACTGACGACATGCAGGCCGGAGGGCGCCCAGGCCACTGCGTTGATGGATGAGCTTCACAGAGAGACCAGAAGAGTAGCAGTCAGCAGCTGGGTGCAGTAGGACCCCTATGCTGGGCAGGGACTCAGGCAGGGCAAGAGGGTGCTGAAGGATGCTGTGGCCTTGGGTGGCTCAGGCCCGGGAAGGCTGAGGAACACGAAGGGATGGACGGGTGGCAGGAGGCAGAGTATGTGGACACCAGTGCTTGCACGAGTCAGCCAGGGATGAAGGGACAAAGAAACAGCCCAGGGGAGGACCCAGAGGAAGGGGATGTGCTCCCGGGCGCCTCACCTGTGGTGCTTGGAGAGTGTCTTCTCCACTTTCCCTGTGAGCGTGCTCCAGACGAAGAGTGTGCCTTCGGCTGAGCCTGCTGCTACGTAGCTGCCATCGGGGCTGGAGGAAGGGATAGCGTGAGGGCTGCAGACCCTGAAGAGCCTGGTGTCCTGCCCTTTGCGAAAGCCAAGACCCCAACAGTGACCTCAGTATGACCCCTAAGCACGCTGCTGGGTACCCCACTCTACTCCCCACGCACTGACTGGAATTGTCTAGGTTGTGGGGTGGCTGGGGTGTATGCTGCTACCGACCTGAAAACCACTCTGGTCCAGTCCGAGCCACACTTGAAGCCGGGAGCACTGGAACAGACAGCAGCAGTGTCAGCCGGGTGCCTCACAGAATAGGACACAGGTGGCCCAGCCCCAAGGACCCTGCTGCCTGCTACCTGAAGGTCTGCTTCACGGCATTGGTCCGCAGGTCAATGATTTTCAGCAGGTCGTCCCGCGAGCAGCTCAGCAGCTCAGTCCTCTCGGGGTTCAAGTCCAGGGCAGTGACCTTGCCCAGCAGCTCCATCTCCCGGACCACACTCTCTGACCTGGGGGAGGACGAGGCCTGCCTGCTTCCTTCACCCATGGAGCCAGAGCCACGGGGTGCAGTGCTTAACTCTGAATGCACTAGGATTTCATGGTATTCCAGCACTACTCCTCCCAATTCTCTTCTATGCCCCAGCCTGCCCGGTCAGCTGACAGTGCCCTGGTGCCAGAAGCAGCCAAGAGAACCATAATGACTCTGCTGGAAGTGCCTGCTTTCTCCCAGCAGGAGTGGACCCCACTGGCCCTAACCCTAAATATGTGGCTTGAGGTACGCTAACTGTACTTTCTCAAGACTTGGGAGTCTTCACCACTCAAATGATAGGGTGGTCAGAGACCAGTTTCACCCAATTTAACTCTGTAATTCCACGAGGGTTTTAAAAAGCCTTGCAAAGTTTCAATCACAAACTGAAGCTGTGGCCAGGAGCCACAGGTGTTCCTTTGGCCCTTTTTGGGTCTCTGCTGCCTTCTGAAGTACCCTACTGATCTCTCCACTCCCCAAAGGCACGTGGCTGGACTGTGACCAGTTGCCCTCTACTCCACTCTGATAGACTCAGGCATCCCCTCTACCTCCTGACCAAGTGGTCAGGCTGCAGGGTTCACCCAGCTCCCTCCCCACTTCTGGCTGTGCTCTGCCCCAACTGCTCCCCTTCGGAACACCCCACACCCAAGCTGCCGCCTGCCCTGCATCTCCCTCTGACAGATCCCCTCTCCTAACTCTTCCAGCCTAGCCTCCAAGTGCTGGGGTTACAGGTGTGTGCCAGCGGGCCCAGCTCCAATAACCTTCCTGAAAGTACCCCCGGAATAATCCACCATATTCTCTGTGAAGCAACCACTTCCCTTCTTGACACCTGCAGTTCATGAATGAAAATATCTATAAATGGCTTTTCGAAAGCCCACTGCCAAGCCCAGCTCACCCTGCCAGGCACAGCTGCACAGCTGCTCTGGGAGAGTGGCTTTGCCTTTCCTGTAGCACAAGGCCCACTAACTGCTCCACAGTCAGCATCAAAACCCTCGGCCAGGACACCCAGCTCTCGAAAGGTGCCTGTCCCTTCCTGTGCCACCTCCTGTCACCGGAAGGCAGGATGAGTAGCATCTTTGCCCATCTGGCTGGCAAGGGATCCGACTCACATAGGTGCTGTCCACTTTGCAACGGTCACTGTTAAACCACAAGTGTCCTAGAGCTCCTTTCTGCTGTTCCCCAAGATTTAACAGCACCACCCACGACAGCTCCACACACAGATTCTTTGCTGCTTCCCCGTCACGCTCTCGGGTGCCCTACCGGATGTCCCAGAAACGGATTTTCTTGTCAAAATGTCCACTCATTACACACTGCTCCGTGCAGACAATGTCGTTGCAACTGGATCCAGCAAACACGGTCTTTATGCCTGAAAGAAAATCAAACACCATTAATCAAACGGAGCCAGCCACGTGCACTGCTATACTTGTGCCCTGTACTGTCGAATCACTGGCCTCAGGGAGCTCTCACAGGAGAACAAGCGTCCCTACTAGGCCCCCTGGCCACCACACTGAACCCCAAAACGGAAACGCTATCTATGCTGCTAAGGTCTATGAGGGCACAGAGAGACTGAATTTGCTCACAGACTTTGCTGCGCAGGTCCCAGAGTTTGAGGGTCCGGTCGTGGCTCCCCGAGACGATCCGTGCGTTGTCCAACAAGAACTTGGCAGACAACACTTTTCCACTGTGGCCTGTGAGTGTGTGCTGCGGGACAGAGGGTAGTGTGTGAGCCTTGGGCTGTTGTGATGCGCCTCAACCAAGGAACTGCAGTGACACGAGGCAGGTTGGGCTCAGCAGCAGCCTGCTGGGCCTGCCAGGCAGAGGCTCAGAGAAACTTCCACAGTGCCTGCCCTTGAGACTTCCCAGAAGCCAATCCTGGCTCAGTTCCCCCTACTGTTAAGAAGTGGCCAAAACCTCAGGAGGAGGAAGTCAGGCCATAGAAGTTATGCCCTTGGTGGAAACGAGAGGACCCTGGCTCCTCCTCATCCCATTCTTTGCTTCTGGCTACTCCAAGGTGACAGGGCCAGGTGACCACAAGGTGAATCCTCTTTAGCAGGTGAGGAGTGGGCAGGTCTGTGACAGACACCCGCCTGGACTGTGCTGCCCACAACGTTTGGGTCTGGACTTTTGTGTGACTGTAAGACGCTTAACAGCCTGCATTGCGTCCAGTGCTGCCGGAAGTGAGGATGGGCCACCCAGGGCCTAATTTATGAGGGAGACATCAGGACACTTGTAAGTGATAAAAGCCCCGGACATTCTCAGAGGCATAGGTACCAGCACCCTAGACATGCCAAGCCCTTTAGGACGGAGCTGCTAGATGCCAATGTGGCACCTCCCCGTGCTCAACAGGGACACAGCATGGGCACCACCACGTGTCAGCTGCTCCTTAGCCCATCCCTGCACCTCTGGAGGGGACCTGAGCTGCTAGCACTAGCTCTATTTACTCCTCATGCCCCCTTTAAGGTGCAGTGAGGGGCAATGAGGGGGTGATACTGGGGTGCTACATCCCAGTCCATCCGTCCATCCTGTCTTCCTATTTATGTATTTTTCTAGGGACAGTGTCTCAACAAATTGTCCAGGCTGGGCTTGACCTTGCTGCCTTCCTCCTCCACCTCCCTGGATGCTGGGATTACAGGCAGGTACCACCACACCTAGCCTAGACAGTAACTACTTTTCTTCTGAGATAGGGTCTCGCCACTTAATCCAGGCTGCTCTCAAACTCATGACAATGTTCCTGCCTCAGCCTCCCAAGTGCAGGGATGACAGGTATGTACTGTATCTGGTTCAACATTTTAAAAATATGCAACATTTCAGAGGTCCAGAGGGTAGCGAGTGATGCTGCCTAATCTTTTAAAAAATCTTTTTAAAGAATGCCATTAATTCAAGGACTCAAACCATTACTTTGTATCCCAGCAAGAAATGAGGAAGAAACAAAAAACCACTCTACCCTACCCACCCTTGTAGCTGGCCACACCAAACCAAGGGCTCTTTTTTAGGCTTTCTGAAATTGGGTCTCACTAAGCAGCACAGGCTGGCTTTGAATTCTTAGCCATGCTCCCCCTTGGGAGGATCACAGACCTGTGCTACCATGCCACAAGGGTTCAAATTTTTAATACGGAGGTGATACGAATGGACACTGAAAACCAGCTGTAGTGTGTGCTAACCTCTGTCCGGTGGCCCCTAGTATCATACTATATTTTTCTTCAAACTATTTTATCAATCCCCGTTGTAGTTTCTTTATGTTTGAAGGACAGAAACTTTTTTCTTTTTAATATTTTTTGAGATGGTTTCACTATGCACTTCAGGCTAGCTTTGAACTCACAATGTAGTCCAGGCCAGCCTGAACTTGCAGAGATCCTCCTGCCTCAGCTCCTCAGAGTGCTGGGATTATAATTGTGTGTGCCATCATGCCCAGCAGAGATAGAAACTTTGTACCCCAGTTTCTGGAAAAGGGCCTGGAGTGTAGAAGGAATTTAGGAAACACTGGCTGAATAAATTGTTAACTCCAGAGGAAGGAGTGTAAGAAAATCTAACACACAGACCCAGTCCTCAAATATGCTTCGTTTCAGTCTTAACTTGGTTAGAAACAGATGCTCCACCTTCTGGAAAAATTATAATACTTGCTCTGATTAACTAAAATGAAGCAGATCAGTAAGTAAAAACGGCAGTCCCTACGCCACAGTTACTACACCAGTTTATGTACTGAGTGCAAAGTTCAACTCGAGAGCCGAGAGAGACCTCACCACTCAGGTGACTCACAGCTCAGGCCTTCCTGTGTCCTCTCGGCACCTCTTCTCTCTAGGAGTTTTCTGTTACTACCCACAAGCTTTATCTCAAGGATGAGCTGACAATTTAAATGACAACCTCTGCCAGCAGACACAAATGATTCAATGACAAACATCTATGCCTCCACCTTTCTTCTGATCCAGCTCCAGGAGAGGAAGGGCACCTTCCCCAGCCCTGTGCCTCTGGCAAGGAGCCCCCATGCTGTGCAGCAGGGAGCTGGGCTCCCCATGAGCACTGTTCACCTTTACTAGCTTTCCCTTGAAACTGTGTTGGAGATATTTAAAATCCTATGACCCGAGAGGTATCTTCAAAGTTTATATTCAACACTCCCTTTAGGCTCTGCACAGACTCTCTCTGGGCCTCTGGGCCCCACATCCAGACCACTATTTCCAAATGCAAAACTGCCATTCAGGCATCACCTTCGTCACACACTCAGATGAACATCAAGGAGTGACTCTGGGCCCCACCGGAAAGCAGAACTTGCAGAGGGTCTGGGAAGTAAGAGCCACTGTGGGTTACCAGCCAGCCCCTACTGTGGCCACTTCTGCATTCTGCCTGACAAACGAGCAGGCACAGTTAGTGCCAGGGTCGTCCCACAGGGCAGCCAGGTGGCTCTGTGGCCCCCTCCGGTCCTGAAGAGAGTCACTGTGGAGGGCAGTTTGATGCTGGGCTGTTCCCAAGATGTAGTTACCAGGAGGGATGCAGAACAAGAACCCAACTCGCTGCTCCTCAAATTTTGGTGTCCTCCCCACCTCTCCGGCTCACCCTTATCATAAAAGGTAAACAGATACTGATGTGGCCTTGCATAATGCCCACAAGTTTAGCATGTGGACAGCTCATCCATGTCCTCCAACGCCATCTGTCAGTGAGGGTATATGGGAGTCACAGCTTCCTATGTTAGGGAGTGGGTCTTCTGCTTCTTCATCCTGGTTAATCGGAAACTCCTGGGAGCACAGAGCATGCTAAAGGCCTCCAGCTCACCACACATTCACCTGGGGACCAGACAGTGATGCAGCTGCAAGCAGGCCGCCCCCAAAGGTCATTGTCAACCCCACTCACTCAGCCACCTGGCACCCAGGACACCAGGCATCTGGTGAAGGCTCCTACCTTTCCAGCCCACCTGTGCAGAACAACTTTTACCAATGAAAAAATAACAGTGGGCACTCAATTGTTTCCTGTCTTCTTCCCTGGCTAAAGCTAAACCAGTCTATCCATGCCTCTTTAACAAGTAGTCACTTCACTCTTCCAGCCTAGGATAATCCAGACCAGTTTAATATAACCCCAGGACTCCACTTAGATTCTTTTTTTTGGTACCGCAAATCAAACTCAGGGCCTTGCACTTGTCAGGTAAGAAATGTGCTGCTGAGCTGTATCCCCAGCTCTCAAATTCTAACCTTTTTGCTGTTATTGTTTCTTTAGCTTTTGAGACAGGTCTCAGCATATTGTTCAGGCTGGCCTTGAACTCAAAAGGTAGGCCAGACTGGCTTGGGTTCCTGCTTCCAGGAACCTAAGTGCACCTGGCTCAAATTCTCATCATTTATTAGCTGTGACTCTAGGCCTTTCTTGGTTTACTTGAGCCTACATTTCCTCATCTACCACCTCACCTGTCTCCCCCAGGATCAAAAGCAGTAACACACTAACATGTACACCTCAAAACGGGGTCCCACACACAGGTAACTCAGGAAAATCCCTTCTCCCTTTAGGCCACTCAGTGCAGCACTAATGCTGCTGGGCACCCTCCCTGTACAGAGCTGCAAGCGACAACAGACAACAGAAGTGGAGAGATGCACCCCTGGGCAGATTCTTGAGCAGGCCACATCCGAGCCAGAGCTTGAGCCATGTGCTGCAACACCTACCTTCATCGTTCTCAGGGCTCTGATCCCTGGCCAGCTGAGCATTGAGGGTGCCTACACTCGAGATGTTACGCTGCTAGCACCTGGTCAGAAAAATGGGAAGCCTCCGTGGGGAGCTAGTTTGTTTCTGAAGCATTTTCCTCCTCTGTCCCTGCATCACCTGGTGACACCATGATAAACCTACCTCACAGAGCCCACTTCCCTGCAGATTCATCTTGCCGTTTTTGGACATGAAAACAGCCTGTGCCAGCCAGCTTCCCCCACTTTTGGTAAAATGTCAACCAATGCCAGAGGTACCCTGCAGTGTGTATTTCAGTGATTTTATTTCAAACTCAGTAAGAAAAAGCATTCCTCAGCCTGTAATCCCAGCACTCTGAGGCAGAAAGATCTCAACAGCTACATAGTAAGAGTTATCTCCAAAACAAAAAAACAACAACAAAAAATCTCTGCTGGGGATATAGCTCAGTGCTTTAAGTGTCTGCCTGGCCAGTGCAAGAACCTGAGTTCGATCTCCGGCCCAAAACAACGAGAACCACCCTGCAGATTAAACCAGAAGTTTTGACTTTCCCATTACAACATAAATGAGTCAATCAAGTTTTGGTCTTTGTCTTAGTTGCCAAATCAATTCAAATGCAGATTTATCATCAATCTCATTTTTTCCCCCGCTGCATCTGTCTCCTGTTTCCCAATTGTGTTGGTTGGTTACTTTTCTTTGTTTCATCAAATTACTCGACACCAGAATTAAAGAGAGAAAGGTAACCAAGATAGAATTTGGTACCAGAAGTAGGGCCACTGCTTTGACTACACCTGACCATGCTGTTCAAGAGCCTTTGGAAATGGCTATTGAAGAGTTTGGAGAGCTTCAGAGAGGTCACCTAAAAAACTAGAGCTGGAACACCTTAGGCTGTTCTGTGTCGGAGAGTCTGGTGAGAGCTGAGAAGACCAGAGAACTGGTAAACACCAGACTCAGAAAGCTTCTGCTGGGAAAAAGGACTACACTAACTGCTGGACTCCAAATGATATGTGTTAGGGTTTGGCAGAAAGTTTCTTTACATTTATTTTGCTTGTGTCCAGAGACTGCCTGAGACTGAGATTAAGGGCAACAGACTAATCAATCTGGCAGAAGAAATTTCAAGGCAGTTGAATGCTGAGGCTGTGGCATGGCTGCTGTTAGCCAGATCTATGTTGAGAATCAAGAGCGAAAAGCCCAGCAGGCTTATTTAAGATATTGTGCGATGTCAGGAATTTAGCCCTCCAGACATGAAAAGTTTGAATTTCTTTGGCAAAGTAGAAAATATAATGATGCTGGCTGGTTGGTGTTAGCATCTCTGGACAAACCACTGAAAGACAATGCATGAGCTCAAAACATCCACAGCTAAGTCTAAAAGCTTCTAGCTGGAAGGAAAATAAGGACCTCAAAGACTCAAATTCCCAGCTCCAGCCACATAAGAAATTCAAGTTTCTTTTTTATTTTAAAAGTCTCTAAGTGTGTCCTGAAAGAAAATCTCTTCTAATTGCAAGGCTGTTACGGCAGAAACCCAAACTGAGGCCCTCATAATTCAATGGGCTGAATTGCAACGTAAGTCTAATGCTCAGCCCAAAGGGTATGTGAAGCAAAGGCGAGGGCACTGATGGGAAAAGAACGGGATCCCATAACCTGGGGTGGAGGCGTATGGAGCACCCTGAGCTCCCTGATTCTGATGAGATTATTCTGCCACAGGAAGACTGCCCCACCCACTACGGCAGAGGCATCGCCGTCTCTACCCACTTTGCTCTTGCTGCCTTTGTCTTCTGCCACCCTGGACAGTCGTTCCTATGCCAGGCCACCCTATCTTGGGAGCCAGCTGATTATGAACTGAAACCTCCACACACTGTGACTAAATGAGCTTTTCCTTTCTTCATTTTGGGTGCTGGGTATTTTATTCCAGCAATGAGAGAAAGTGACTGAGACAGCAGCTGAGGAACTGCTTCACAGCATCAGAAGCACCGTGGTACCCACACTCGTCATCAGCTGGTTTGAGGAAGCACAATGAGTATGCCAAGGTGAGTACCAAACAAATCATTAGCTCCAAACAGAGGCAGGTCGAGGGCAGCCAACACTGCCTAAGTGCTAGCTTGTGTGTCATGTGCTGGTTGTGAAGTTTCAAAGCAGTCAAGTATAAGGAAGTGACTGTGTGTCCACATATGCTTGTATGTACCACTGTCCAGCTACACACCAGCAGGTGACTTTTAGAGTTAGGACCTATCATTCACAAGGCACATGCTGGTATCAAACTCCGTGCTGTTAAGCTGAAGCTGCTGTCCAACTGAGCGCTGATGAACAGGGATCCTGCAAACGTGAGGATCTTACTGCAGTATTAAAATTGAGTCCTGAGGGACTGGGGATTTAGCTTAACAGCATAAGCGCCTGCCTTGCAAGCAGGCAGTCGTGAGTTTGATCCCCGGTACCGATAAAAAAGAAAAAGACAAAAACAAACAAACAAACAAAAAAATTGAGTCCTGGGCAAGGTGAGAATGAGCGTAGAAATCTAAATTTTTCCAAGGACAAAAGTGTGAATGAACAATGGTACTCAGGGAAGGAAACGCACAAAAGTCCCCTATCATCCGCTGCTTTCTCTGTATTTTGCACCTTCACAAGCATGTGCACCAACTTTCTTAACTGCATCTTACCCGTAACCGATAATCATCCACTGTCCAGATTCGGCTTGCAAAGTCGTTTGAAGCTGCTAAGAGGTAAGCTCCCTAGAGGAATAAAGGAAAGGAGACACAACTTTTAGCCAAAACAGAGGAGTTTAATTCACATGATAGATAATGACATCTAAGGTCCAGATGCCTAACAAAACCCACAGCTAGTCTGCACACCAGGTACTGTCACCAGTAGGTCACCTCACCCACCTTCCAATCCAGCCATCCTGCTGCCCGACATATTAGACTTTGTATCTCAGGCTCCATGCAGAGCTCAGCCTCCCCAATCTATCTGCCCCCACCCCTACTGGAAATAGCACAGGCAAATTCCCTACATGCAATCCATACCAGAAAGCTCAGAGGGATGGATGGCTATTCTTCCTTCTTCATCCCCCATGCCCTCAAGACTGCCCTCCTTCCACGCACGCTGCTCTGGCTCTCTTTCCACCTATCTGGGCCTGGAACACCCTGCAGCAGCTCTGAAAACATGCATCACTGCAGGGCTGACCTTCCTTTTCTTTTTTTTTTTTTTGGTACTAGGGATCAAACTTGTGACGTCGCGTCTGCCAGGCAAGTGCTTATGCCATTGAGCTAAATCCCAGCCCCTGGCCTGCCTTTTCTAACCCAGCCTTCAACATAGCTGGTTACCCCAGATCTAAACACCATGCCACCTTCTGAAAGCTATCTCTCTTGGCCAGGGATGAAGCTCGGTAGCTCAGTGCTGTCAGTGCGCACACTGCCCAGGGTCCGACCTCTGGTACTATTGAAAAGCCTAAGTGGCTTCAATATTTGGTTCCCTGGCCTCACCCCAGGAGGAGCCCTCTGCTCACTTCAGCAAGGTTCCCTGAAGGCAAGGCTCATGCGGGCACCTAAAGAGCAGCATCTAAACACATACAACATGGCCATGAAATGGAACTAGAACACTATGAGCTGAACACACACTAAACTGCGGGGTTTGTCAGTTTCTGTACTAACCCATTTTAACACCACTTCTTCCTTTCTGGAGTTCATTGTTGATTTTTGATATATGGCCCTGCTATGTAGTTCAGGCTCACCTCAATCCTCCTGCTTCAGCCTCCCAAGTGAGGGCGTAAGAGGCGTGTTCCACCATTCAGCTAACAACCTGGATTTGACTCAAGATACAGAGAACATCAGAGAAACCAGGTAAACTACTTTTTTAATTTCAAGAATCACAATCTTGCTGGGCATGGTGGCACATGCCTGTAATTCCAGCATTTGAGAGGCTAAGGCAGGAGGATTGCTGGGAGTCAGAGGCCAGCCTGGGTTACATAATAACTCACCAAGGCCAGCCTAAACTACACACCTGAGACCCTGTCTCAAAACAAACAAACAAACAAACAAACAAACAAACAATACCTTGAGGTTATTCTTTGAAAACCTCTGAAGTCACAGACACTGGGTACTTACAGCACTATCAAATTCAATGCTTGTAATTCCAGCGTTACTGCCAGACAGCGCCCCCTTGAACTCACATTTGTCTGCACAAAAAGATAAGATTGAGTTTGAGAAAAGACAGGACATTAAGTCAAGTGAATGAGCCTCAATGGGCGCTGGAATACAATGAAAGACAGTAACTTTCTCACACCTAGGGTTTTGCCTGCACACCCTCACAGACTCAAACAGTAGGGCAAACAATGCACAAGACAAAATAGGCTGCTAGTCTTTTACAACAACGAATGTTTAAGTAGATGCAGACTCTGGCCATTTGTATGTATGTTCTTTTTTTCTGAGAATCTCACTGTACATTTCTGGCTGCTCTCGAACACTCTCGAATAGCAATCCTCCTGCCTCAGCCTCTTGACTGCTGGGATTATAATTGTGCACCACCATGCCCAGCTGTATGTGTGTTCCTAGAAAGCTCTTTCATACACTGGAGTTGCTAATTCCTCTCACAAAGAGGAAAATATGGGACTTTATAAATGTGTCAATCAAACTAGAGATGCAGTTTATTTAGTTCTATTTCTCAGTCACTTTTTCTACTTTATAAACATTGATCTTTGAGTCTGATCACCATGTGTCAACTACCACGTTTGCAGAAACTGACCACTGTACTTCAGAATCCACGTGATAATTTTCACTAAGATGTTAACAGAAATTTTAAAAATTGTATTTAACTGACCAGGCAGTAAATACCTGGGCAGCCTAATAAACTATTTGGTAACTCTGCTTTATTGAGTGGTGCTGAGAATGGAACGGAGAGCCTGGCACATGCTGGGCAAGTGCCCTAGCATGCACCTGCACCCCAAATCCTTTTTAGAATGGTTTCTGAAGAGCTGTTAGCCTTACTCTGTAACACTATCCCAGTAACAAAGGCATATTCAGCGGAATCTGGAAAATGTCAAAACTAAGCTCCGCCCCACATCAGAATTCAGAGATGATATCACCCCTTTGCTGGCTCCAGGCATTCTCCTAGGTACTACTACTCCCTCCCGCACGTAGATGTACTTTTTCTAGGCCATTACAAGTGCATATATTTCAGTTTGATGTACAGTTTAACTCAGATTTAGCTTTCCTTCTAAAACTGATGCCATTGTGCAGGCTGTTCTGATGAGTAGGGAAATTACCTGAGACTTCCTAACTAGCAGTCCTTTTTGTCACCGGTGGACAATCAGAGCGTGCATTCACTCCGATGTGCAAAGAAACCAAAAGCTTTGGTCGGGTGAGTCTTTACAGAAAATGTTTTTGGATAAATAATGCAAAGAGTGCTGAAAAGCAAGGTCAACCAGCTGCCACCCACACAGCTCCCTCCGGCAGACTCTAATGGCTCTCACCTCCGAGTACCTCCCACAGCTTCACCCTCCGGTCCATGCCTCCTGTGGCCAGCAGGCGGGAGCCTGGGCTGAACTGCACGGCATTCACTTCCCCATCATGTGCATCCTGCAAGACAAGCAAGCAGCTTGGAGCCCAAATTTCACCATCCAGGAGCCCGAGCCACACCCAAGCACCTAACCCAGAGCAAAAGATCTGTCCTGAAACTGTGGTGGCTCTGAATTTGAACCAACGTGGACCCATAGCCCAGGGTCTCCTGTGACTGATTCCAGAACCCTTTTACAGTTACAGCTCAACTTCCTCAGAAATGACTCTGAGTCTAGGTAGACCACCTGCTGCAATTTGTCTTTAATTTTATTTTTCTAAGAATAACATCTTGATAATCTTATTAGTTTAAAAATAGGCTTGGAATTAAAATGCCTCTTCTGTTTCAGATTATTAGATTTCCCTCTATCACTAACTTATTAATATTAACGCAATGTATCTGAACAGTGTGCAGCACATGGCCTTTCAGGGTAAAGCTTCCAGATGGCTCCTAATGTTCACAGGTGTCAGCCCCACTGCTAGACCCTGTCAGTGTTGCAATGGAGCCTTCGTGCAGACACCGCGGCACTACCTTGTGCCAGCACTGTGACCTCCACCAGGTTTTCCACGCCCTAACGCAGCAGCCTGCTCATTTGTAGAAATGCTTTAAGCCATTGATACAGGCATCAGCTGATATTTTAAAAGCATTTAAAATGCTTCCCTGGAAGTCTCTGGGGCTCAACATAAACATGGGCACATCTGGGCTAAAAAGATGGCTCTCATGGCGGAGGGGAGGAACCAGGTCACAAAGTATCTCATTCCCCAGGGGGAGCAAGACCTCAGAGGATGCCGCTGTGATGACTCCCTCACCATGTGGGTGGGTGAGGAAAGATTTCTGGATGAAGGATGCTGCTGGGACCTGCCCCAGAAGACAGGCCAGAAAGTACTGGACTGATGGGAAATGAGCTGCACTTTGATTTCCCACTTTCCCTGGCTACTGAGCTTACTTCCGTACAATTTTCCCCTAAAAAGACTTTCCCAGCCAGACATGGTGGCTCACACCTCTAATCCCAGCACTCGGGAGGCTGAGGCAGGAGGACTGTTTAGAGTTGGAGACCAGCCTAGTCTACCAAGTGAGCTCAAGGCCAGTCTGCACTGCACAGCTGCCTCAAAAAAAAAAAGGCTTTCCCCAGTGGAGGTCTCAGATTGAAAACTTGAGATCATGCACCATCACAGCATCCTGCCACTCCTCATGCTCCTGTGAGGTGGTCATGTTGGACCTGGGTCGGCTGTGAGTCGCTCACTCTCAGAAACACACACGACAGGGTCCCTGCGTATCAGCTGCTCCACTATCCCGGGCACACAACTTAACCGTGCCGGGAAACACAATGGGCTGCTGGGAGCCGAGGGCAGAGAGGGGACTGTGATATTCGGTGCATCAGACCTTTTACCAGTCATCATCGACCTCTCTGGAGTGCCCGGGCCCAATGTGGAAGTCACAGGAGCAGGGTGGGCCCGCATGCCCCAGTCTGACTCCTCCTTCAACACGGGACCTACTCAGAAGCCGGCAACTCACTGCTGGGCCTGCTCACTAATATCTCCCCACTAGCAGGGCTCCTCATGCCAGGGAGGCACCCACCAGTCAGCTGGCCCAGGTCCACAGTGAGTCTTCCCATCTGCACATAGAAGCCTCTGTGGTCACCCCCTTCGTCAGCCAGCTCCAGGAGCTCTTTACATACACCCGTAGCTCCCAGGGTTCTGACAGCCTCAAGCCTGGTCCCAGGTCCCTTCCAAGGCCAGGTCACTTTCTGCTTGGTTACCCAGATGGGGTGTACACTATCTTGTTAGTACCAGGACCCAGGTCTGAACCCCTAGTGACAGTCCTGGTATTACAGTGGTCTCTATCCAGGACTGTGTCCTGCTGCCATTCACAGGCTCAGCATGGTGGAAGTCATGTATCAAACAGGAGTGTTATTTATGAAACCAACAGCTGTCCTGCTGGACTTCCAAATCATACCACTTGCTGAGCCTCACTCTAAACTGGAGATAACTGGAGGCACTGCCTACTCTTCATTACGTGTCCTTGCCCTGTTGCTCATGCTACCCATCCTGTGCTTCTCAGCCAGGATAAAGATGGCAGCAACAACTTCTGTGTCTGAAGCTGAGCAGAACACATGACCCCTTCCAAGCTGCAGAGCCAGTGGGTGTGGAGAGCGCCAGCCCTGTTCGAGGCCCAGCCTGGGGGAGGGAAGGGGGCATACTCAATACTCACAAAGACACACAAGGCAGTGGTCGGGACCCTCACGTCTTTACCGGGACCAGGATGAGCATCCACATTTACGTCCTGGGAGACTGGGAAGGAAGAGACAGAGCGTCTCCTAAGGAACAATACAGAGGCACATATGAGATGGGACGGCAGAAGACCACTGCTCACCAAGCTCAGAGACAGAGCAACTACCTGGATCAACAGCTTCTTCCCTTCCAGACCCTTCAAGCCACAGAATTCACAAAATCAAAGGACCCTCACTCGAGCGACAAGAAAGGAAGCCAGCGTATGCCTCAGCCTCCTGCTTGCTAGCACATGGGTTCCAAAACAAAGAAGCAATTCTGAACAACAGCTGCTCACCCTGCCACTCGACTGCTCGGGAACCGTGTCCGCTTTTCATGGGACAGCTGACTGTTTTTTAACACTACCCTAGGATGATGCTCACACCCTGTTATCACCACTGTGTACACATGGGGTCAAGGCAGAGAGGAGCTGCACACATGCCAAGAGACAGTGCTGACAGGAGCGCAGTGACTGAACGAGGGAGGGACTCTGCCGGCAAGGTGGCTAGAAGTGAGCGGCTCTCACTCAAAGGAGCATGCAAAGCTTCCTGGTTAGCACATGAACCTCTGATGGTTGCAGTGACACAGCGCGGTCAGCGTGATTATCAATAACCCACATTCACATGCTGGGCTGGGGAATGGGGTTCACCTGGCAGCATCAGAAGAATGATGTCCCAAAAGGGGAGAGTCGGACAGACTAAAGGGAGAGGCCAGAGATCAGCACGCAGCAGGATTAAGAGGAAGGAAGTTGAAGAAAAAGGAAGAAGCTAAATAAAAAGCCAAAATTAAGGCATCTGTATTCTCTGCATCCCTGAAATTCTGGTGTACATTTAAAAAATAGCCCATGTACATATGCTTAAGTATATTCACGCACATTTTAAAAACGAAAGGTCTTCTAACCTACCCAAAGATATTAGTGATAGAGTCCAGAAGACCTCCAGCAGGCTGCGAGAGTCGCTTACTAAAGAGGAGGGGAGGATAGGTTTAAACCTTAGAAACATTCTGCCCAAATAAGCAATCAAAAAACCAGCCCATAAAAACAGGTACCCAGGAAAAATTTCTCACCTAGTCCCCAAATCCCAGCCAAGAGAGATTCCACACAGTATCTGAACCGCCAGGAAGTAAGGGGAAAGGCAGAAGGGAAATCCAGCCCAGAGGTTTTAAAAAGAAACAAGGTTTCCTAGTATGAAATTATTTTCCAAGAAATCAGGCCTTGGACAGGAGGAGTCTGTCCACTGGACACAGTGGTTCTCAGTTTTATAACTGATCCCCATTCTTTTTTTTTTTGTACCGGGAATTGAACTCACCACCTCACACTTGCCAGGCAGGGGCTTATTGCCACTGAGCTAAATCCTCGGCCCATGATTTTTTTTCATTCTTTCAAGTCCTGCTCTGGTGACTTAAAAAAAAAAAAATCTCCTGTCCTAGGATGGAAGTCATTCTGGCTTTTAGGAAGTTTGCGGCCACCTGTGCACTGCTTTCCTCCTTCACCTTGGTGGAGGGAGGTGGGCAGCTCTGTGGTGCAGAACTGGTCTGGGGCTGAGGGCTCCTGAGTGCACCTGACTATGCTCCTCTGCCCTGCCCACACGTGTGCTGTCACAGCGCCACTGGAGCGCTCCCTACCCCAGTCTGCCCTGGGTACTTACGTGGCTACTCTACTGATGGCCCGCACAGGAGAGGTCTCTTCTGTGTGATCCGAGGTCTCGTCCACAATGACTTCAATGTCATCGTCCCTGGAAAGAAGGGCACAAGACTGTGTCACTGCGCTGAACAGGACCTTCGTGTCGAATCAGTTCTTCAAAAGTCAATGTCAATGTTTAGTCCCAGACAATGGGAGACTTGGCAAGGATGGTGACAGTGAAAGGTGCTCTGGAGCAAAGGGAGGAGCCATCACTCTGGAGGAACAGGGAAAGAGACGCGGATGCTGAGGACAACTGTGTAAAGCAGACCGGCACACTGCAGTACTGTTTTTGACCCTGTACATCTCGCTTATGTTTTGCTACTCGCTCTGGCCGCTGACACGTGGAGAGTCCAAAGAATTCCGAGGGACACCGCCCACTCATGGGAACATACTCCTCTGGCTGGTGAGTATTGATGGGATGCAAAACACCCCTGGAATTCCTGTCCTCCATGCGTTCAGATGGGAGGGGAAGGGAAGTGATTATTCCGGTCTTAGTTACTTCTCCAAAGCTGCCATCTGCACAGGGAAGTACAAAGCTAAAACTCCATAGCCCAAGACTTTACCATCTACTGCTCAGATTCTTAAGCTCTCAAAAGCAAAACTTTAGTTGGGTGTCAAGGCCCACTCCTGTAACCTCAGCACTCAGGAGGCTGAAGGAGGAGGACTGCTGTGAGTTTGAAGCTAGCCTGGACTACAAAGTGAGTTTAAGGCCAGCCTGAATCATATAGTGAAACCCCACCTCAAAAAAGGCCCCCACCCCCCAAAAGACTGCCTTTTCTATGATTAATTGTGAGGATTATGTGAATATATATTAAGAACTTGTTACCAAACAAGTTAAACCATGTCAAAGTAAATTTATTTTCCTTTATTTATTCTAGGACTAAGTATCACTGCCCCACATTCTCGTGCAGGATATAGACAAAAATAAATAAGGAGATCCAGGCTGTCCCTGACCTTCCTTGGCTGCTCTTCACATGGCTAAGCTTGTGAGAGTCACCTGTGCTCAAGTGGGGGACAACTCAGCAGATGGATACAGGAACAAATGAGCTAAGCCCCGGACAATGCTGCTTAGTGTGTTCACAACAGGGCTGCTGTGGACGCCCGTCTCACTGCTGGGTGGCTCGGAAACACTGGTGGTAGCACATTGCATGGCTATCGTGTCAGGTAGCATGGGACAGGACCAGCAGGTGGTTAACTGCCTGTGGTTCCAGTTAGTAGGAATGTGTTAAGTGTGTTATGGCCTTGGAGGACCTCAAACTTCACAGGGACTGTGACTGCATGAATCAACTTAAACTTCTTATGAAAATCCTCTCAAGATGAACACACTTAGATCTGGAAATTCCACTCCTTGAGAAACAAAGATTTCAAAAGCCTCCACAGCCAGGCGCTCCAGTTTGCCTCCGAGGGCAGGCCTTTCCTGCACTGTCTTGGGCAGGTTGCTGGACCTATTCCAAGTCACATCTCATCTGGTCACCTGGTTAACAGCCAAATGACTGTTCTGTAAGCAGGAGGTTCTTTGGGGTTATTTGGGGTGCTTTTATAGTGAGCTGGGTGTGTATGGATGCACATCTATTATTCTAGCACTAAGGAGCTACCATTGCCACAAGTTCAAGGCCAGCCTGAGCTACACAGAAGTACAAGCCAGCCTAAACTATAAGTGAGACACTGTCTGAAAAATCTGAAAAATTTAATTTTGAGGTAGGGTCTTTCTGAGTTACTCAGGCTGGCCTCAAATTTTTAATCCTCTGGCTTCTGACTCCTGGGGACCTGCCCTTTGCAGGTGTGTGCCACCACACCCAACTGTAAACTATCATTTTTATTTGTATTTATTTTTTTCAGTGCCGGGGATCAAACTCATGACCTCACATTTACCAAGCAGGCACTTAGGCCGCTAAGCTAAATCCCCAGCCTCAAGCTATTATCTATTTATTATTTTTAAAGGACCAAATCTCTTTTCAGGGCCAACCATTTATTTACTTTGTGGCTTTAAGAAAATGTATACGAATTGGTAAGAGAGGCACCTACCTACCAACAGAAAAGGTTTAGTGTGACAACTTTTCTTTTTTTGGGGGGATAGGGGGAAATCACACTCATGACCTTGTGCTTGCCTGGCAGGTGCTTACACCACTGAGCTAAATTCCCAGCCCTGGTTTTCTTATAAATCAAGACTCATACCAATTTACACCTAACTGAATTTGAACTACTCCTCTCCACTTACAGGGAATCAACCTCCATTTTAATAGCAAATCGTATTTTGGAAACTATTTTCCAAAAGGCATTTCGACAGAAAAATAAATCCATCTACAGCAGAAGAAATTTTGTTAATAAAACATCCACTACTCACAAAACCAAGCTATAAATCTCAGCAGAAATATTTCTGCAACCTGCAGACAGGTAAGGAAAAGCTCCTCAATAGACTCAAGTCCTTTCATTCCAACGGCTTGTTTATAGTTACGCTTCTAAGATGCTGTTATGTTTCAAAGATTTTGTAAAGCTTGCCCTTAAAGACATAAACCAAAAACTGAACAAACCAAGCCTCAGGCCAGGTTATAAGACAAGAAGCCCAATTAAAGGCAGATAAGTGATCAAAGTGTCAATGGAAACTGTGAGATGATTCGTGTGCAGGAAGGCAGATTCAGGTCACTATGGAGGCTGATTAAGAGGTGTCAGCAGGAATAGCTTTTTGTAAGGTAATTTCGCAACATGTTCTGAAAATTTTGACCAGACCATTTTACTTTTCTAAATCTATCCTGGGTAAGTAAACAGAAACACGATCAAAGACCATATCCAGTTTGTTATTTTAAAGTGAGAAATCAGAAGACAGTTGTTACTTTCTGGATGGTGGTAGAATCAGGCTTTTCTTTTCTGTCTTCAGGTCTCTTTCTAAAATCCACAAAGTGCTTTTATAAAAACAAAAGCAAGATAAAACTATTTAAAGTGAGACAAGACATTCAGTTCAGAGCTTTGACTGGCTGATTTCTACTTACTGCTCCACTGGCAGAGGCTCCTTCGCTGCTTCCGCGAGCTCCTTCTGAAGTCGCGCTTGCCGTCGTCTGTGAGACACAAAACAGTCACATTCACGCCTGTGTGGGCTTTGTGCTCTTAGTAATCTGCTCTCTCTTAGCTCCCAGGCCACACTGGAATGCTCAGTGCAACTAAACCAATAGCCACTTGGCAACCCCCACCGCATGTCACAACCCCTAAGCACTGCTGAGGTGCCCAGTGACAGGGCTTTGGAGTAAGATCCGGAGACAGAGTTACGGGAGAGAGCAATGGCAAACAAGGAAGGAAATAGCCTCGAGGGACAGGAAACCGCTTCGGATGTACTGAGGGGCTCGACCTGGCTGGGACTTGCTTGTGCAGTAGCTACAACCCTTTCCAGAGCCCTGTCACCGAAACGGCTCCTCCTAGTGTTGGGACACACTGGTCTCAGGACAGTGCTCCCCAGTGGACGTCTTGATCCAAGACCCTCAAGTCCTTGTATGAAATGGCACAGTACTTTCAAAGAACTTAAACACAATCTTCTCACGTATCTGAAGTCATCTTGCGATGACTCACTGATAATCAGCATGTAAATGCTATGTAAATAGTTATTAGAGTCATTTCTGGTTCTCCCTCCCAAATCCAAAGTGATTGATGGCCAGGGACACAGCTCAGTGGCACAAGTGCCTGCCTGGCAAGCACAAGTCCTGAGTTCAATTCCTGGTACAAAACAACAACAAAAACAACAAAAAGAAAATTAAAACAAAAAACAAAAATAACTTTAGAAAGTTATAAAACAAAAGAACAAAACAAAAACCACCATTTCACAACCCCAAATAAACCCCATGTACAGTGTGATTCTTTCCAGTCTTAAAAGTTCAAAGCTGGACATTTATGTTTGCGTTTGTAGGCCTGGAGCCCAGAATCTGGGCAACTATTTGGATGCTAACAATATGCAATATGGTAATGATTGTGGATTTCCTACTGTCCTATCACTGTTTTATTTCATTTTACCGTTCTGTTTTACTCCTTTAAAAAAAAAAAAAGAAAGGGGCTGGGGATTTAGCTCAGCGGCATAAGCACCTGCCTTGCAAGCAGGTAGTCGTGAGTTCGATCTCTGGTACCGATAAAAAGTTTAAAAAAAAAAAAAAAAAAAAAAAAGAAGTACAAAGCTGGGAGTATGTCTGAATTTCTAATTATACTAATTGCAGGGATTTTTTCATGTTACTGAATAATCTTAAAATTTACAATGTAAATGGTTTTATAAACTCCACTGTAAGAAAAAAATACAATGTAATTATTCCCCAAGGGACACATCATTTTTTACTATCCTGAACAGGAAACCATCTTTGACTATTTGTGAGCAAGCCCCCCTACTTCTTTGGAATGTGGTTTAACAAGTAGAGACACTTGCAGAGGTGAGTGTGTGTGTGTGTGTGTGTGTACCGGGGGTCCTCTAACCCCAAAGAGCCCTCTAGGAGAGGTGCCGTTTTGCAGCGATGTTTTAAGATGCTGTGGCAGTGAACCTCATTAGGAACCTGACTTCTGTATTCAAGTGTAACCTTAAGGTGTAGGGGAAGATCCAATTCACAGGCGCGTGAAGGGCCAAGGGAAAATGCGCATCTTTCTAACGGCATGGACAAGTGCCATCCTGGGAGGGATTCCTTTGCTCAGCTTGGAGCCCATCCTTGCAACCGCAAATTTGCTTTTATTTCCACTATCATTACTTCTAATTCTGTTAGTGGTTTCTGGGTTCCTCTGCAAGCTGTGTTTTTCTTTTTGAAGAACTAGGCTGCACTTTGCTTAGTGGTTTGAAGGCCCACCTGGAGTCCTTTTCGTTCTCTGCATTAAGGCGATTGGCCTCCTGGGCCTTCTCGGCCATCCACCTGGTGACCAGCTCCTGGTTCTCCTCGGTAGTTTTCCTCAGTTTCTCCTCCAAGGCAGTGAAGGTGATTTGCAGGGCGTCATATTCGTCTTTTAAGGTCTGGTTGGCTATCTCAAGGTCCTGGAGCTTGCTGCGCAGGTCCAGGCACTCTGTCTCCAGGTCAGAGATAGTCTGCAAACATTCTGTGATTCTGAAAGCATGACATGAGGAGTCCCTCACCAGGGCCCAAATGCATGGGCCTAGGCCATGAGCAGGACACGGGCCACCACCGCAGGGTGATCCTTTCAGCACACACCTGTGGTGAAGTTCCTGCTGATGATGAGTGACCAGTGAAAGCAGCTTCCAGGGAAGCAGGACCAAAAGGGACTTTGGGGTGTGTAGGCCCAGGGACTGAGAGTCTCCCCACACGAGGTACTAGAATGTCAAGTCCCTGTTTTCTCATCTACCAGGTTTCTCCCTGATCAAAAAGGGTCCTGCTCATGAAGGACCCACTCATCCTAAGGGCTATGGGCTCAGATGTTGTGGCTCTAACTTCCCCTGCAGAAGATGCTAATGTTCCATGCAGCGGTCACAGGAGAGCTGTGAGCGCCCCTGGACTTTCAAGGGCCTTGCCCTATCCTTAGAGCTCTTGGGAAAGGTCCCCAACCTGCAAGCATTACAGTGACTCTTGCTGAGTGCAGCATGGCCACCACCTGCCACTAGTTACCTTCTTGGAAACACAGCTGAACAGCACACATGAAACCCCTGGCCCTCCCCAGCAGGCCCCAAGGCGACCCGGTCTTGACTCACTTTGCTTCGTTCATCTGCATCTCCCTGTCCTTCTGCTGCATCTGGTTATTCAGGTCGATCACCAACTGAGCTAACTGGGAAAAAACAGAAACTCAGAAATAAGAGCCCCGAGGGCCTCACTGGGAAGTTACACAGCCAGACTGTTGTGTTTTTAAGGAAAGGTGTTGTGGGTTTGGGCAAAGGTACCAAGAAGAGGGGGGCTGGGGATTTAGCTCAGCGGCATAAGCGCCTGCCTGACAAGTGCGAGGTCGGTTGATCATTGGTATCCAAAAAAAAAGAGAAGATGGTGACAGAGAGAGTGGAATGGGCTGTGAGGAGGTGCATGGGACCTGCCTGCTGTTGCCTGCAAAGACACTGTCCACCCCTCGGCCTCACCAGTGACTCAGCAGGACATGGTAAATTCCATTCCCTCAGCTGGAGTCTGTCACAGCCCTCATCTACAGACTGAGACTCAATTCTTTGCAAACTATCAGGCTTCACAAAGGAAACGCTTCGGTGAGCAGGCAGGCAGCCCACCCCAGCTTCCTCACTGTTGTGGGAACACAGGGGACTCATCTCTTGTTGAGGGGCCTGGGCCCCCTGGTGGTCTCCCTCGGTGTCTTACTCCCTTAGAGATAAGCGACGCTGGACAGCCACACTCTTGGGGAGGTGGTTGCCCTCCTGTTTTCCCTGGCAGGACTCTCACAGAGAGCAGAAGACAAGTGCAGAGGGGGGCGACCTTTACCTCCCCTCGTTTCTTGTGTAACTCAGTCAGTTCTTCCTGGTGTTTAATCCTCAGCTGGGCCATTTCTTGTAGCTGACTGTCATTCCATGTGCCATCGTGTCCAGGACTAAGTCACCATCAGCCAGAGGGAGAGAACATGGGCAAAGAAGCGAATCAGACCACACCTCTGTAATCAGGCAGAGAACTGGAGCACTAACTTTCCAATTTCAAATCTGCAAACACCCACACAGCCAAAATCACTCCAGTGCCTCCTGTAGCATCAACTGGGTTTTTTTTTCTGTTGTTGTTTTGGTTTTTGTACCAGGAATTGAACTCAGGACTTCACACTTGCCAGGCAGGAGCTATGCCACTGAGCTGTATCCCTGGCAATTACAGCATCAACTGTTCTGAGACACAGTAAGTACAAGGTAGGAGATGTGAAGCACAGGGAACCACCTAATCTGAACTAACCACCAGGAGTAAGCTGGGCTCCAGAGTGAAGGGCAGATATCATAGACAGCTAAGTTAATTAGATAATTACCCTTTTTTGAGGTGGGGGGTCTTTTTGAGTCAGGATCTTGCTGTGCAGCTCAGGCTGGCCTTGAGCTCACTTTGTAGCCCAGGCAACAATCATCCTGCCTCAGCCTCCGAAGTGCTGGGATTACAGGCTTGTGCCACTTTGCCTGGCTAATTAGAAATGATCTCTGGAGGGCCCAGCCCTGTTGCTATCTGTAATTAGAAATGTTACAGGAGTGTGACAGGGCTGGGCCTTCCAGAGTTCAGTGCAGAAGACAGCTGTGGCTGAAGGCACACTCACTTAAGGCTGGGCATAAAGGAAGAGGAACCACCCCACCCATATACTTCCCCTGGGTCCCAGCACAGTGACTGATAATCTACACAGCATCAAGCCTCTTGGGTGAGGGCCAAGCCTCCTCACCCCAGCCTTCCAGGGACCCTTGTCCCTCCCATGCATGCTGCTACCTCACCTGCTTCCACACAGATCCCCATTTAATCGATATACGAAAGTGACGGCACTTGTAACCTTATTAGGCGAACACAGTGTTGTCCCACCTCACATCCATCTTGTGATTTCCCACTGAAAAATTCATTACCTGACCACTACACATGTAACCTTACTGGATGATCACAGTTCTGTTCCACCGTAAGCCCTCCCCAACTCCTTGGCTCTGCTCTATCTATAAAACTCCCTGAAGGAGCAGGGACCTGCTCTGTCCCTTAGACAGAAGCTTTCATTCTCTCAACAAGGACTCTTACTCCATATTGTACCTAGAATCCATTCTTCCATTTTAGAGAGCATGAACTCAGTGTATGGGACCTCTAGCAGGCTAGGAGTCCTATTTCCCTTACACTGTGTGGAAGTCCTTTATCATCCCTGGGTTATTAGTAAACTCCAGCAGCCAGCAAGTCCGTGCTCTGCCAAGTGCTGGGTGCCTGCCACGCACCAGGCACCGCTGGCACCGAGGCAAAGGCAGCTGCCCAAGCCTCACTCTGTACAGCTGGGCTAGTCAGGAGCAGGTGGACAGTCAGCAGACATGAACAATCAAGTGACACAGGGAAGGAACAAAGGAGCAGGGATCTGTCCCGGGAAGAGGGATCAAGGAGAGCTTCCCTGAGGAAGGGACAGGTAACGAGACTAGAGAGGAGACTAGAAAGTGCCCTGAGCAGACACAAGGGGTGGCTCTGCTGGGGAAAGTCACAGTCCAGTGCAGAGGGAGAAGTAGCTGAGGCTGAGGTAGGGAGACTGCGGAGTTTCCCACACACTGTGGTCGAATCTGGAGTGGACCAGGGGCAGGGGATGCTTGTGCAAAAACAGGTAGCCAAGTTAGCAGGCCAAAGCGCAGCCCAGACACAGGAGGGGGCAGCAGGGAGACAGCAGCCCGTCCTGAAGCCTTGGGAGTTCACACTGCTTCCAGAGCCAATTAGTTTTGCAAACTTTGCCAAGAATTTGCTAGACAAGGCAGAAATAGGCTTGATAAAGAGAAATTCTGAGACCTTAAATTATAAAGACCAAGGGTGGGGGGGGGAGATAAGGGAAGCTAATCAGTTAACAGCTGCTGGCAAGTTTTCATGTTGAAATCTTGACTTGAGTCCCTCCCAGCAGACCACTCCACCCTGTTTACCTCTCACCCTAGGACCTTGACCGACGTCTTGTCCAGAAGCAATTAGGGGTTCTGGCTAGGGGTTGACTTCCTGTCCCAAAAGCTTTTCCTATGCAGCTTCTGGTTTCCTCCAAAGTCTATACAAAATGTTCTTAGCCCTGCCCAGAGGACATGTGCCAACTGCCACTGATCCCCTGCTGCTGGCAGCTATGGGAAGGTGGCATGGTCCTGGCCCATCCTGCCCTGGCTGGCACCTGTGACTGTCCAATAAACCCTTCTACTCAAGTTCTCCTGTCAATGAGATTCGGTCTGACTACGACCACTGACTGTCAGCTCGAGGGAAGGGGCTCGGCTGAAGCTTCAGGTGCAAGGTATCAGACTCAAACACCCGAAGGAAAAAAGGCTGGGTGCCAGAGTATCCAGATCTGCAGAAAAAGGGACCCACTCCATCTGAGCTGCAACACCGTAAAAAGGCAATGAACCCCAGGCAGTATAAAAATCTTCCCTGATTTTACCTCACATACCTAACCAAATGACACCACGCCCTTTGAGACAGGTGGGGACTGCCCTGCTTTTAGCCCACATCTTCAATGAAACTTCTAAATTAGGAAGAGAAAGTATCTTATCAAATTCCTGATTTAACTGCAAAGCAATGTGGGAAGTACACAGCAAAAGATGAAGCCCCTCCTAAAAAGCTGGCCTTCTAGATACTAAAGATAAAACTAGTAAGTCAAAGGTTGGGTGTGGTGGGCCATGCTAATAATCCCAGGGCTTGGGAGGCTGAGGAAAAAGATTGCCTCAGGAGTTGGGGCCAGCCTGTGCTATAGTGAGACCTGCCTCAAAAAAATAAATAATAAAAACCCCTCAAGTAAATCAATTCATCCCCAAAGTGCTAACTGTACTCTGGAAGAGAGCTCCCTGAACAAAGACAGCTGGGGAGGGCTGGAGGAGAAGAACCAAGAGGACAATTTCCTAGCAAGGGGCAACCACAGACATGAAAATCAAACAGAGGGCGCTAAGCACCTGACCTGCTCCCTCAGCTTGGGCGGGGGAAGGCACATAGGCCACTGTGTGCCCAGGCCTGCCGAGGATGTCCCACCCACAATGACTCTCACTCTCAGGCCCACAAGAGAGTATGGGGGTCTCTGTGGGGAGGAATCACCCAGGGATCTCTGAAAATTCCAGCAGGACAGGGCTCCCGGAGCACTTTCAGAGGATAAGGTGAGGTGGGGTAGGGCAGCGCAGGCCTGTAGCTGTGCACACTCAACAGGCTGATGTAAGAAAATCACTTAAGTCCAGGAGTTCAAAGTCAGCCTAGGCAACTGAGGGAGACCCCATTTCAAAATTAAGTTTAAGGAAACTAGAATGAAGTGGGCCAATGTTTAGGAGAGAGGGCAGGAGGCAGTTCCTTAAAGAGAAAAAGGAACTGCAGATAGTTTGTAGAAAAAACAAGGACAATACAAATGAGGCATCAGGAGGGCAGGGTGGTTATAGGTCGTGTCTGACAGCGCAAATGAGGACTTCCAATAAAATGACCTGCCTGGTGACACTCAGCTCCAAGAATTGCAAGAACTGTCGCTTGTTATTTATAGTATCTTCCCACACAATGAGTTTGGCTGACCCATGAATATCACCAAGAGCCCTGCTATACAGACACTCAGCTGGACCCTGACACTAGGCACTTAGATGCTACAGAAGGCCCCCAGACCACAGCCAGTAGCACCCCTGGGCTGTGCGTGAGTGAGGACAAGGCAGGCTGCGCTCTTCCTGATCTGCCACCTCCCAGGAGGTCACCCTGCCTAGTGAGGAAACATGGACAGAAGGGAGGGCAGCCACGGCACATGTGTGCTGCAGGACTCATGAAATAGGGCCACATCTACCATTTGTTTTTAAGCCTTAAATTACCAACCTTGTTTTATAATTGCTAAGTGTTACCCAATGTGTGAAGAAGAGCACATAGATTTTAGAGACGTAACAGGCACTTTTCCCACACAAACCACCAAATATGCAAGCATCATAAACATTAGGGAAAGAGGGTAATCCCATGCGTACATGTGTGTAGTAGCAGTGTGCTTGGAGGAAGTACGGCTTTTGGATTTTTTGATCATGACCTTTGAAAAATGCAGTAAATATTTCGATTCTTGGTACCGAACAAAACAGTGAATTTATATAAACATACAAAACACCTTGTATGAACTATAGATCTATTTAAGGCAACAAGACTCATCCTTCCCATTAAAACACACTGATATTCTTTTCTAAACTATTCTAAGAAACATAAAATTTTGCTGTAACTGTGGATTTCATTTCGGAATGTTGAAAAACAGTAGGCTAAAAAGGATCAAACAGAACCACAGTGGACCAAAAGCAATTTGTCAGTCAAATCTGTATTAACAAGAGCTCTGCAAATCTACTTAGGAATGTATGTCCCTGATTACTCAAAAAGTGAAGCCTAGTGGGTTAGAAGAGAACTTGACCTAGGTTTACCACACAAACCCGCCACAAGAAATTTCTCAAGCTGAGCTCACTGTACTATAAACCTTCTAGGTCTGTATATATCTTTTGGATAATTTTAGTTACTTGGTTTGCTTTTGGAGAAGTCACAAGTGAACTGAGACAAATTTCAAATTAAGGTTTAAAAAAATAGCACTAATAATTTAAAGTTAGTTTCAAAATACCTTATCTCATGCCGGTTTGGGGTATCATGCTTTTCAGCTTGTAGTTTCTGGGCCAACACTGAATGAAGATCGGACTTTTCCAGCAACTTGTTATCTGTATATACACAAAAGATCAGACAATATGTTGTTATACTACATTTATATCGCATGAGGCTTGGACCAAAAGATTAACAGATGACTTAGGTAGGTTTCATCTTTATTAGGTAGCAAAGGATGCGTAACTCCTTGTCACCTATTACAGTGATTACATAAAATCTAGGAACACATATTCCTTAGACACCTAAGGAGTGGCCCAAGCTTGAGTACCCAGCCATAACAACCTACAAACACTACAAATGTCCCCTCTACTAGGGAATTCAAATCGCTTTCCACTTGCAAAATTATGTTTTTACCTTGGGAGTTAAAACACCAAATCCAACAGCAGTGTAAAATGCTATATATACTTTTAAGTAATACAGAACTTTACTAATGTGGTAAATGTAAGTATTTTTTAGATCACAGAATTAGGAACAAAAATGAAAACCAAGATTTCTCAACGTGAAGGATTTGGATCTAATGTGGTCAGTTATAAAAAGGGTAGAGAGCAGAACGATTGTGCTCTCATTGCGTAAATGGCTTTAGTGATATCTGAGGCCAGTGTTAAAAGACAATCAATGGTCCACGCAGAAGCAGTAGCAGGAAGCTGTCTGGTAAGCAGCTGAAAATCAGGATCAGAGCCAGTATATGGATGGGGAAGATGAGAAATTTACTTTTAACTGTTAGGCAATGACACAAATAGATTTGGATTGGTAAGAAGTCAAAGAAGATCCTAAGAGTTTCTGCTCAGGCAGGAGGGAAGAGCCTGGGGAATAAGGTCAGACTAAAGGGCACGGAGAGAAACAGGAAAGAGGTAGACCCTTCCTGCCCATCATCAAGAGGTATGGCCTACACCCCTATTCCAGAAGACAGATTAACAAGAGAAAAAGCACGATAAATCTATTAATGTGAAATCATACAAAATATGTAATTGACAAAAGAGGCCAGATGGTTGAGCTCAGGCCTCTTCATAGGAGACAGGGTAACAGGGAAGGCACACAAGAGTCCTATTGCACAAATGAACAGCAAATTGTGTTAGTAAGTAATTCCTCCCAGAAAATCTCTAGATGCTCAGGGGAATAGATAAAAGCCTACCTGGTGTGAATTCTTCCTATTGATGAGACTGCTGGGGAGGGATCCTACTTGCCATTTCTTTTGGTGCTTAGGGACGGAAACAGCTATCAGGGAGACCTGGATTCTGAAACTTGCTTCAGTACAGCCTGTCAAAATTCTTCTGGGTATCATCTTCTAAGCCCAAATAGCACCGAGCTCAACAAGTAATTGACCATGGGGAGGTGGTCACAATTTAAATTCTTGTGATTAGATCTTTAAAATGAAACTCTGACAGGGGCTTACACTATAATTCTTCTATTGAAAAAGCTCATCGAAAAGAATCTTGAGTCTTGCATCTTCCTTGATACCTAAATATGGAACTCTTAGGCAGAAACACCTTTTTCTATCTTGGCTGAATGGATCAATTCAGCTCCAGGAAAGTGGCCCCACTCTGGGATATTCTAACCAATAGAAAGGTTTAAAATCCAGCTCCAAAAGGCTCTAAAAAGATACTCAGAATTCTTTTAAGCCTTTTACTTGGCTGGCCTGGATAGGTTGCTGAGAGAACAGCAGAGTTAAGTATTTGAACAGGCCAAAGTTGCTCTGCTCTCTCATGTCCTTTGTTTCTGGTCTTCTCCGCTGGGCCTCAGGCACCCATCACTCACCAGCCCAGTACTGACTGTCACATTTTCTCTCTGACAGTTTTTGGATGGTACTAGGGCTTGACAGGCAAGCACACCCTCACAGAGGCCCGTCCCCAACCCTCTTTACTTTTAAACGGTGAGCTGGGATCTTGCTGCAGTGATCCTTCTGCCCTCATCTCCCACACAGCTGGGATTACAGGCCTGTGTGCGCGCTGCTCTCCCTGCTCTTAGTCGAACTGCTATACCATCACGATGGCTATTTGTACAGTGCTGAAAAATACCCAATTCGTGTCTAAGGTTACAGTATCTTACATTTACACACTATTATAGAGATGCTTTTTAAAGCACTTATACACAAAGCACTTTTTAGTGTAAACATTCAGGGCAAGCTTTATCACTACTTTATAGATGCAAAAAGCTTAGTAAGGGGCAAGATGGGCCTCCAAACCAACTTGACTTTAAAGGGTACTAGTCTTTTGAAGAGTAAGCATTCACTAATGTCTGTGAGCTGAGTTTCTGCAACTTGTGAGGGAATCATATTTTGAATAAGAGAGGATTCCTGTGCTTGTAAAACACTGGCTCCCAGCGCCTCTGAAGAGTGGAGCTGGGCGTATGCATGCCTGTAATCCCAGCACTCAGCAGGCTGAGGCAGGAGGATCACCTAGAGTTCAAGGCCAGTTTGGGCTACATTCTGAGTTCAAAGTTGTCTCATAAGAAAAGAACAAAACAACAAAAAAGGATCTAAGGTGGCAGCAGTACAGCATCCCTCTCCTGTTTAAAGATAAGTTCAGTGAACGCAAAGAGCCATTTCTTGGAAGACTCAGTGAGAAAAACATGCGAAAGTAAATCCCGCCACTGAACTGTTGTGAAACTCAAAGAAATTAATCTCGATTGGCCTCAGCTTCCTCTTATGGAAAACGGGCAACAGTTGGACCTGCTGCACTGAATTTTAGAGAAGGTAAAACGAAATAACATACACCAGTTATTGACCACACAAACTCGTCAGCACAGCAGAATAATTTAGGGATCAACCAACACTGATCCTGTGTTCTACCTCTATTTGTTCTGGTTTAGTTGGTTTAGGGTGTGGCTTGGGCTCTGTAATTAAAAGATTCTCCAGGTGGTTCTAAAACGCCAAGTACTCTTGGGAATTGACTTTGCACCGAGGCTTCAATTAATAGGTATTACTGTTTTGAAATCCCATCATTAACGTAACCCGGCAAACTGTCAGTTCCCTTAAATTGCCAGGCGTAACAAGAAAAAAAAAACTTTCGAAGTTTTCAATAATAGTAAACGCTATGTCCCAACTAAGTACTGTATATTAAGGTTCAGAATGTATACTCGACAGAGAAAAAACGAGGTCTGAAAACCGAAGAACAAAGAGGTCTGGAAAATCAAGAGCTCCACGATCCGTGACGTTCAGAAGGCGATATTAATTTCTCGAGTTAAAGCTTAAATCCAACACCTGTGTCATTCACGCAATTCCCCGATACGGGATGCTTCTGGAGTTTGCCTGCTAAGGGCAAAAGCATGGGCGAGCCGCGGCAACCTCCAAACTTAGGAGGCCCGCCCACAAGCAACACGCGACTTACCAGAGGAACCCCTGCAACGCCTCTGAGGGCCGAGTGAATGGAGGAAAGGCTCTAAAGGTGGGGAGCGTCCGAAGGGCCGGGAGCCCGGACGGACGCCACGTGCGCGGCGGACACCGGCCTCGCTGCCCTCCAGTCCCACCAAGGGCCCACGCGTCCCCCCCGACCCGCCCGCTCGGCGCGGCTCACACTGCAGGATGATCTCCTCGAACGCCTGCCTCTGCAGCCGGTCGCGGCGCCGCAGCTCCTCCGCGATGTGGCGTTTCCAGCGAGGGAAGTCGGCCGTACGGAGCCCCGACATGTCGCACGTGGCTCTGGCGCCTTAGCGCCACAGATCCGGGTGGAGTCGGGTGGCCGCGGCTTACACCATGTGGCGCGGAAAGGCCGGCAGCTCCAGCGTTCACCCTACACACAAGCCGCCCTATAGGTCAACCTTAACATCTTCCGGTAACCACCGGAAATAACTTTGAAGAGAACGGGAAGTCCCGCCCCCCCACGTCTTACGTCACACGCGCGCACGGGATCGTTGCCGTCTCGGGGCGCGCGTTGACGCTCCCGAAGCCGGAAGTGTCGATGCACAGAGATGGCCGCTTGGGGGCGCCTTGGCAGCGCACTTGGACCAGCCCTGGAGGGGAAGAAACGAAAGGAGGCGCGCTGTCTTCACTTTTTCTTGTTTTCTTTCTCGATTTGCCTCCTTTTCTTTCATTGACTCCGTTTACAAGCAGAAGTGGATGGCGCATGCCTGTAGTCCCAGCCCTCGGGAAGCTGAGGCAGGAGATCGTTTTGAGTTCAAGACCAGCCTGAGCTACAAAGTGAGCTCAAGGCCAGCCTGAACTGCACAGTGAGACTCTGTCTCAAAAAGACAAAAAGAAAAAAAAAATTCCAACAAAAGTGGAAGCCACACCTCACGAAGTAGCTAGGTGCTTGAGGATGAGTGACAACCTCCCCAAGCTACAGTTTTCTGATCTATGAAATAGGTCAATAAGAGTACCTACCTAACATGGTTGTGGTGAGGGTTAAAAAGCAAAGCCTGTCTAATGCACTTAGCATTGTGCTTGGTGCAGGCTAAACCTAATTTTACCTAGACATCAGATGTCCTAAGGGTCCTCAAAGCCATGACGGAGGCAGGTCAGGGTGTGACCTAGCAGTCACGGAAAACTGGCAGTCACTGCCGAAATGCAGACTCAGAGCAGCTTGGAAGGCTTTCGGGGGGCCTCCCAGACCTGACATCGGAAGGAGATATACAAGACAGTGAGCAGTGACTTCACGGGCACTACATACTTCTTGTTGCTCTGGCCTCTCTTCCATGCAGAATGCATCTCAGAGCACTTCTTTGTCTTCTTTTACTTTTAAATAGATAGTAACTTTCAAGGTTATCAATTGTCCTTTTCAGCTATTTGAATGGGACAATTCCAGAGTCCGGAACCACTGGACACATGCCTGTCGAACAGCATGGCTGTTTTACTCTAGCAAAGGCATCCCACAAGTCACTGACCCTAGAAGCAGGCTTTTTTGTTTTTTTGCTTTTTTGTTTTGCAGTGAAGTGGAACAAGAACTATGGAAGGATGTAAATGTTGTATCAGTTTGTGTTAATCATTAGAACCTTAGAAGTGAGGGCCTAATTGTCCTAATTAATGTGTCCTTTAAAAGTAATCATTAGATTACCAGACATGAGTGCATGTTTGTAATCCCACCTGGGAGGCTGAGGCAGGAGGATCACAAGTCCCTGCCAGGCCTACGTGAATTAGGGAGACACTGTACCAAACTAAAAAATAAGGCCTGGAGATGTAGCTCAGTGCGAAGACCCTGTGTTCAATTCCCAGTACCAAAAAAGGAGGGAGGAGAGAAATGGAAGATCCACAGGCCTTTGAGAAGTTGCTATCTGTCAACAAACTCAGTAAAGTAGGAAACCTGGGTCTTTAATGTAACTGTGAACTCCATCCATCTATAACAGCTTAGTGAATTTATTGGAGGAAATTAGAACAGGACAAAGGAGACCAGAGGAGATGAAAAGAGCGTCAAATCTTGTCTCCCAGGGTGGTCAAGTCTAGAGGAAGAGCCTTCTCAGACAGAAAACCTGTACACTAGAGAGACCTGAAGTAAGTGAAAGACTGTCGGAGGCAGAAATTGAGGCAGCTGCTTTACGTCCTGCAGAAATGAGGACTTGCAGCCTGCACGTCACCAAGGACGCCTCCAATCGTCACAGCGGCACCAGCTTCAAAAGCCGGAGTGTCATTGTGTAGCATTGGATTTCGACAGCGGGGCACAGTTACATTTTTCTGACATGATTACGATTAAAATAGGTTTACAGATTTACCCAGCCAGCAATCCCAGTTGCTAATGACAGTGGAAAGCTGGAGACTATAACTCCAACTAGAAAAGATTGCTTAAATTATTGTACAATTACAAAAGTAATTCATAGTAACAGCAGTACATGATATAAATCCAATTTGGGAAAAATAAGGGTTCCCAGGCTGGCCTGCGACTTGCCATGATCCTCCTGCCTCAGCCTTTTGAATCCTGGCATTACAGATGTGTGCAACCACGCCTGGATGAATGAAGAATAATTTCTAGCCTAAGGATACTAAACTGTGCTAGGTCTGCCCTCTTTTTAACTCAATGCTTTACCTGGCACAGGACAGCAGACACTGAACCCCTTCCTTCCTTCTGCTCTCTGCATTCTGTACCCCTGCAGGAGCTCTGGGTTTACTGTGTGTGAAAAGCATACTTTTGTCTTCTGAATTCTTTTTTTTTTTTTTCCTTTGTTCTGTCTTGTTGTGTTGTGTTTTTTGGTCTCTTCCGGTAGCCCAGGCTGGCCTCAAACTCATGGTGATTGTCCTGCCTCAGCCTCCATTCCCAGCTCTTTTCTTCTCAGTTCTTGGTTCATTCCTCTGAGTTAATTCTCAGCTCTGTGAATACTTCTGAAAAACCTGTAGATGACAAACCTTCATGACAAGCTTAGAGCTCCCTCATATCTGTTCCTCTCCTTGATAGCACTTACCACATTTGCAGTTGAGCATATTAAGGTCTGTCTTCCCTTCCCCCAGTGTCCTTTAAATTCCTTGAGGTGAAAATTGTGCTTGTTTTCACTAATAATTGCTTCTCTGGCAAAGGCAAGAAGCTTTTAAAATATTGGGTGCTGAACAAATGTCATTTAATTGATGAATAAAATATGCAAAAATAGTAACAGTATTACCTGTGGACATTGCTGGTGTTTTTATTTCTGTGTGTATCTTCTGTGTATTTTCTAATTTGTAGATTTATACCTGTATTATAGATGCAAGAATTCTAGAAATGAACTTGTATTTATTGGCCAAACTGTTGATTCTGAAGGAGGCTAAGGCCGGGTGTGGTGGTGCATGCCTGTAATGCCAGCACTTGGGAGGCTGAGGCAGGAGGATTACCGTGAGTTTGAGGTCAGCCTGGGCTATGAAGTGAGTTAAAGTCCAGCCTAAACTGCATGGTGAAACCCTGTCTGAAAAAGACAAAAATAAATAAGAAAGGGTGCTAGGCTCTGTGAAAGGTAACTAAAAACAAGACTGGAAGAAGGATATGGGAAGGGGACATTGGAAGAATTAAGATGGGCCAGGAATATAACTCAGCACCTACTTCGCAAGTGTGAGGTCATGAGTTCAATTCCCCAGTACCAAAAAAAAAAAAAAATATATTAAGATGTGTGATGTCCATGGATCAACTCCCACGAGGACTGCCATCATTACATCCTGCAAACATACTAATGCCAGTAGAAAATTTAAAAAGTAATAGAAACAGGAGCCCCTGCAGCACTGTGAGCCATATATTCTTCTGAGTGTTTGATGTGCTGTAAGTCATTTTCTCCTCAATGAGGAGAAAAATGGTGTTACTTTATCTACTCTCGTTCACATCTTCCTCTTCACTCACAGGTGAGCACCCTGAGGCTGCCGAAGATGCCACTCTATGTCATTCAGAGCTCACTTTTTAGCCCACTCTGGCCTAGAACCGTGTCACTCCTCCTGCCTCAGCCTCCCCAGTGCTGGGCTTACAGGCATGCACCGTCATGCCTGGCCTTGCCTTCAGCCACCCCCTTGTCTAGGCTCTGGTCTAGGCAACAGTGTAGTTTGACTTGACTAGAATCCATGAAACAGAATAACTTTAAACGTGTAATTCATTTGCAAATGAGCCAAGAAAGAGAATGTTTGGAACTCGAGCAGTAAAGGTCAATGCAGAATGTGCTTTCTTGAGGAAAGTCAGTTGGGTGGCTATTGCCTAGATTCACAGACTTGAATCTGTGCTGCACAGACTTGAAGCAGGGTTGCAGCTGGGCCCCAGGATCCCCTGAAATCAGGGTACAGAGCCAGTGGTGATGGGGAGTCCTCAGGTAAGTCACCGGGAGGCAGGGAATGGCTGCATGGGGACAACTCATCTGAAGGAACAGGGAACGTGCTGTCTGAATGTGACAGGCAGTGGACCTCAGAGCCAGCTTCTGAGCCGGCAACTCACGAGCCTCTGCAGGACTCAGCATGCTTCTGTGAGTGCATTTGTACTGTGTCCGTCTAATGGATGTAAGAGAAATGTAAAACATCAGGAGTCTTGTAGCACCCGCTTACCGCAAGAGTGGACGAGAGGACATGACCTCACTTAATGAGGAGCTTTCTTGCCAAAATGCTAGTTTCACAGGAACAAACACCCCACTTCCACTCCCCAAACCCCTTGGCGCACCTGTATTTCCATGGCAGCGTTTGCAAGGAAGAAGTTTCCAGCAGTCTCAGCTCGGCTCAGACGCCTCTCCTCTCATCTGTAAGGTCTCTTAGTGATGCTCCAGGGCGCATCAGTCTGGATGCGTTCCAGCCCCGGCCCCCAGACACTTGTCCTTTCTGACTTTGAACTTTACTGCTCAGGTCTTCCTAGTTCAATTGGGAGTGGAAACAGTTCAGTCCCAGGTTGAGTCAAGCACAGGAACAAGCATTTCAAGGTGGCTTATTGGCTCAAGGGGCTCGCTCTCCAGGAAGTAGATGTGAACGTGTGTTATTGATGGAGGTAAGGAGTACAAAGCACAAGGCAAGGAAATACCCACAAACTTCAATTTTGTTTTGTTGAGGGTTTTTTTGGTACCAGGACTCAACTCAGGATCTTGTGTTTGCCAGGCAGGCACTTGTGCCACTGAGCTATATCCCCAGCCCTCACTTTATGATTTTCCAAAACATTTCATGTTAGCTGGATGGGATGGCACACACCTGTAATCCCAGCAGTCAAGAAGCTTAAGCAGGAGGACTGTTGTGAGGCAGCCTGAACTACAAAGTGAGTTCAAAGCCAGCCTGAACCATGTAGTGAAACCCTGCCCCCAAAAACGAGCCCCCCAAAATTTCATGTTTTAGCTGTGTGTGCTGGCACATGTCTGTAATTCCAGCATTTGGGAGGCTGAAACAGGAGGCTCATGGGTTCATGGCCAGCCTGGGCTATATAGCAAACCTTGT